GAATCAAAGGTGGGTGGAGCAGATTCAGCCGGAAGCCGCCGTTTGTTGGAGTGAGTAGGAGATATGATAGAAGCGTGATGGAACGTACGATGCTACACACACTAATATTGTATCGTACTAGGCTGCGTTCCATTTCATGCATGATGCATATGCTGATATTTATCCTTGTTATTCATCGAACAATGTGTTAAACAAGGATAAATGATGCATTATGCGCATCATGCGTAAAACGGAACGTAGCTCTAGTATTATGCGTATGCATATATACGTACATGCACATTTCCTGAAGTGAGCGGATAAATGGCGGAGCCAATCAGAGAAGAGAACACTATCAGTTCCATTCTCCCTTAATTCTCTTTGCTGGTAGCCACCAGTAACTACGGCCCACGCGAAAGCGGCGTAACGAGAGTGCGCAGTTCTGCTTCTTGGTCTTCTGGCCAGTGGATTTCCGATTTCTTGTAAAAATCGCAATACCACGCTTCCAAATAAAGATCACTGGGCTGAAACGGGCTAGTCAGATCAGTGCATCATAAGAGTGCGCAGTTACTAACAGCGACTAGTATTTGCTATCAAACGAAATCTAATCTTGAATCTAACCTAGTTTGATTCAATTTTGCATTTACGACTAATGGAATTAAATTATATTAATTTATATGAATTTCTTGATCTGAAAAGATTGTACGACAAATTACTTGATTATTTTATAAATGCATTTTAAGCTTTAAAAAAATTGAAATAGAAATTGAATAGAAATGATTTTGGGTCGAAAATTTGCTGCGCTTTTTGAAGTGTGTTCGCAGTGTTTATAAACAAATACGAAATATTATAAGCTATTTAATTTACATATTTGGAAATGAAGAGGATTAAAATTGTGCCAGACAGGCCGAATCATTTATTTGAAAGCTGGTTAGAAGAATGGAGAAACGAAGCGGTGCTCCGAAATTCAGAGCTACACAATCATTTTGCGAAGGCTTTAGACTCGTTGAAACGATATCCACTACCATTGGAATCTGGTAAGGAGTGCATAATCCTGCAGCACTTTGGTACGAAGCTGTGTTCGATGCTGGATAAAAAGTTAGAAGAGTACAGAAGACAGAAATCTACCAGAGTAGTTGACGCTTGCGTCTCCAAGGCTGGTAGTAGTAATGAAGATTGTATAACCACGTCGAGAAAGAAACCTGTAAAAGAATGTCAAACAATTGAAATACAGGAAAAGATAACGGTGTGTAAACAAGCTAAAAATACCAAAAAGAATGCACCAGAAAGATTGGTAAACATAAATGACATTGGACCGAAGGAAGCTGATAGACAAAGTTTTTTTGAACCAAATACGTTTGATATTATATTATTGGTGGATACTCAAGAAACTTGTGGGTGAGTATATGATACGGCTGTGATTTATACTGTTAACTATAAAACGTTTTTTAGCTATGTGGGATATATTCCAGTGGGAAAACAAAGCCTCAGCACGATGCTACGATCGCAGAGTTGACACAGCTTAATGTACTGTTCGAAGTACGTCGTTTGAAGATTGGTGATTTCGCGTGGATAGCCAGATGTCGAAAAACTAATGATGAATTGATTATGCCTTATATAATAGAGCGGAAGCGAATGGATGATTTAAGTGCAAGCATCGTGGATGGAAGGTTTCATGAACAAAAGGTAATAGGAGTGTAATTACTTTTTAGTACGTTCTTGATTTTCCCGTGTATCTGATTATGCATATATTCTTTGTTTCTATATTTCAGTTTCGATTGAAGCAATCTGGTATTGAGAATTTGATGTATATAGTAGAAAATATTGATAAGAATTCCCGATATTCTGTACCGCTCTCATCATTGTTACAAGCCTCTGTAAATTGTTTGATACAAGATGGCTTTACTGTAAAATATACAAGGAATCACAAAGATTCTATGTTACACTTGTCATGTATAACAAAGATTTTAATCAAACTTTATAAGGTATGCAAAAAATACTGTATAATTATGCATATAAATGTTTATTAATGTTTATAGATTTTATGATAAATAATAATTTTACATTAGGATAAGAGACTTGTTGGATGCAAGAAAGAATACCTTACCCAAACAGACAATGTAGGTAGCGCAGTACGTCTTATGGAGTTCAAAGAATTCAATAAAGCATCCTCTAAACAAAGGGTGTGTATTAAATTTTCTACGTGATGTCTACAAGAAATGCTTAAATTTATCGATATATTTCCTTTCAGATATTCAAAGTGAGCGAGATGTTTATTCGTCAGTTGTTACAATTGAAAGGCATGTCCATCGACAAAGCCATGGCAATTGTGGAGCGTTATGCCTCACCGCAAATTTTAATTACAGCTTTGGAGAATTCTGTTAAGAATGGCGAACAATTATTAGCAAATATTCAAGTTGACAAGAAACGACGGCTCGGGCCTGCCATCAGTAAGACCATTTATCAGCTTTACACAATGAATGAGTTAAGATGACTAATAAAGAGGTACAATTATATCTTTTTACTGAAACATATTTATCAAAGATATTCTATTTTTGCATATATTTTTTACTGCCATTATTAAAACTTTATATATTTCTAAATAATCAATAAAAAAGATAATGAATCGGCTGAAAAGTAACGTAATTGTACATAACTCATAAAGAAGAAGAGGTATTTAAATGTAATCGAAAAGACATGAAAATGCATTTTATTTGCTACAAGAATGTACCATTACTTTTCAACGTAATTACTATTTACAGCTATAAATTTCTCTCAACAATGAATCAGTTTTCTCATTCGGTCAATGAAGAATTTTTACGATCTTTCCTTGGTCCACTTTATCATTTAAAAAATAAATCCTAGTGACATTGTCATTTACGAGCCATTTATAGTGATGAAACTGTTCATTAAAGTACTGTGAATAGATGTGCAATAAAATTTCGTGTGTTGGAAGTTAGCGAATTTGACACCCTACGATTTTTACTTCTTTCCAAATTTAAGAAGAGATCTTAAGTGATGAAGCATTCATTTTATCATGAATGATGAAGTGAAATCGTGGATTAAGGACTGCCAGAAGTTTTCATCAACTGGATGAGAAAATTAGTCTACCGTTAGAAGAAATGTATAGCTATAAATGATTGAAAAATAATACGTTTTTGTAATCAATAAAATGCCTTTTTTTGTTTTATTCAAATATCTCTTCGTTTAAATTATGTGCGACTATGCATTACTTTTCAGCTGATCCACGTATCATGATCTTTTAATAAAATTTTTCAAGAATTATTGTAAAATAAAACAATTGGAATGCATATACAAGCATCAAGTACTTAAATGTCCGCTTGCTTTTTTCAAATAAGCAGAGTATGATATTGTCTCTACATTTCGCGACATAAATATATGTTAGTTTTCACAAAAAAATTATTTTCACTTGTACTATCGAAACATTGCTTAAAAAATAGAAAAAATTTTGAGTGGAAAAAGCCTGAAAAAATGTGGGAAGACTACATAGTTAGATTTATCGGTGAACAATTAATTTATATGTTTATGTTAAGTGGGTTAGCAATTAATTATTGACAAAAATGCACAGGACACGTGTTCATGAAGATATGAGTGTCGACACATATCGCACAAAAAATCACGTATACATATATAATTTATTAATGCATAATATTAACTGTATAAAAGGACTCTCGAAGTTCGACAAAAATATAAAGAGACGTGGACATGGAAATTACTTAATTAGTGCGCAGATTAAATAATTTTCAACAAATAAAATTTAATCATTTAGTCAATCATTAAGAATCTTATAATATTTTGCTCGTACGTTTTGGCTCCAATATTTAAGCTCTTATCAGCGACAAAAAAATGCAAAGATTAAGATGAAAACTAGCATGTGCTAGATACTATTAGACAAGGTGAAAGATCAGTAGATTAAAATAAAATTTCATTATCCAACCACTTGAAAGATTAGACGAAAACATTTATCCTATATTAAAATCAGATGTTAACGAAGACAATGTTTGTAATGGAAATTTTGAAAAAATAAGATTATCTCGCGAGTGATAGCAGCCCACACAACAAAAACATCCATCATAGAAAGAATAAATTATATAGAAAAATGTAGAAATGCCTAATTACCGCGCCAGACTCATAGCTTTACATTTCTTTATATTTATATTAATGTATATTCTTTTATCGAAGAAAGCAGTAATTTCATTTTGCTTTTTCATACGATTTTATTAAATATTTGAACGGATCTTGACATACGACGATATTACGCAAAATTGTACGATCTATCTGTGTAGAAGGAAAAGGTTGCTTGTTGAAAAGTATACGTATGATAACTATGATTTAATACATACAATTGATACAATATTATAATTTTGAGACTTAAAAGTTTTTCGACTATAATAATACTGATAATAACAATAATACAATTAAAATCGCGAAATTGTCTGTTTTATTATGATACACGACAAATTCTGTTTCAAGATTGTGCAATTGATCATGTCGATTATTTGTATGTTGCTGAGACGCATGAAACTCTTTTATAAACAATTTGAGAAATAATATTGATATCGAGAAATAGTGTATATAAAACCAGTATATGAAATTATCGTACAATACATTTGTCGCGTCTTGAGTCTCAAGTATCGCACTATTTCTATCTATACCCGAATACGAATTACGTAGGTAATTGTCAACTTGCAAGAGCCGTCCTTTTTCCCTTATATATCATCATATATATGTTCGCGCGTATACGGAGATCGCTAGTAAAATGTTTCTTCGTATATCTTCATCTCTGAAATTACAGATCGATCGTAAAATTATTACGTATTTTATCTAGCGACACAAAGTTCCTCGCGGACGTATAACTTACATCTCAGAATATAAATGAATACGTAGCTTAATTATGCAACATAAATGTTAAACTAAATGTTAATCGGTCTATAGGCCGATATTCATAATCAGATATTTATTTAAGACCGTCTTAAGTATAGTCTTACGATGTCATGAACCAATCAGAGAGTTCTATTAGCATATCTTAAAACATTACTTAAGATATGCTAATATAAAATATGAATAGAGCATAATGTAATCCATAGAGCTATTCTATAAAAATAGAACCATCTATATAAAAATTAATAATAGTTTTATCGGTTTGCCTTTATTTGTCGGTAATGTTATTCATTACTCACAAGTAAACTTACTCATAAGTAAACTTAGTTACCAAGTATTATACTCCGATTTTGATGAATTTTTAGTATGTTGTTCTCCAGACAAAAATAAGCGACATATTTTTTTATATGTGCCCATATGCACTTTTAAGGAGTGAAACACTTCTTTGAAAAAAAACTATTAAAATCCTGATTTAATAAAAATTCTGATGAACCTATATGGATTAAGTCCTCCCTGCAAAATCCGATTCCTTGCAAAATTAATCTTTGAAATTATTATAATATTAATATTATTATACATAATAAAAGTGAATAAAGCTTTCATTATGCCAGTATTTAAGTCTGCTAAAATATTACTATATAGTCGATTTTAACTCAGGTCCTCTGGAGAAGCGGGGGATACTCGTAGGCGTGGGGGATGGGAAAGAATAATGCGGGGAACGCGTCGGCGATATTTTACGTAAATTTAGGATCCTGGTCGGTTTACATAAACATGATACGTATCCGAATCGGTCGCAACAGAAATAATGGAAAATGCAATGATCGCCTGTAAATAAATCCTAAGCAGTTTTGCTATAGCGAAGGAGCGCTTCTCAGCGTCAATCTATCAGTTTGAGTTGAGAGAACAAAAGCGATTTCGCTTAAGAAGAAAAAAAAATATGCGACTTGCATGAACAACTCAAAATAAATTACGAGTATCCGGTTCGGAGGATAAGGTGTTTGTGCACGCGCGCGCGCGCGCGTGTGTGTGTGTGTGTGTGTGTGTCAGCTTTTTAAATAACTAATTAAGTTTTAATTTAGTTTTACCTTTTCTTTTCTCATGGTTGATAATGAAAGAATTGTGAGGATATTCTTGCGGAACGAGCCAGGAGTGCAAATGATTTCTTTGGTAAGTTCGTGAATTATAGATAAATAGAGTATTTTATAATCCACTTTTTTCATAATCCACTTTTTTATAATCCATTTTTCAGAACATATGGCGTAGCGAGCACATTAGGATACTAGGTACATTAGGATCAAGGGCTTCAGCAATCACAATCATCGCCGCTTCAGGAGTGGCGATGGTTTCTTCTTCTTCTTTTGTGATTAATGGTCCTGGTTCTCGTTGACGAGGTAAACTTGGTTAGTCGTTTCCTAAATTCCTCCAACCTTCCACAGGAGTCAGTGAGTATAATCGGAATGCAATGCACCACTTCGAACCGGGCAGAAGTAACAAAAAAAGGGATGATACATTCAAAATGAAAATGGAAGGCGCTCCTCATAAACACTGGGCGCTGCGACTACGACGCTTCGGCGCCGCACGGATGCATGTTCAGACGAATAAAGGAACTATCGATGATGTAATGTACAGTTGAAGCCAGCCACGATTTTCAAAAAATATGATTGAGGTGATGCAACACCTGAAGCGAGGCGAAACACGTCCGATCCGCTTGAATGCCCGCGCAAGATTTGCGAGGATTTGGCGAAGAAGTATATAGGAAACCTCGTTAATATGTAGGACGAACAGGATCTCGGTCTGGCGCGACTGTTCGGTCTCCGAATGAACAAGATCCAGAACAGGAATTAGAATTTAGACTGCGCGTGGGTTGGTGAGATAAGAGACGAGAATCAAGCTAAAAATCACAAAAAAATTTTAACACTATATTATTGTTACGTGATATAATTTTATACTTTCGCGCTACTCTGCTGCGATGGTGTTACCAAGCCTTGATCTACATTATCCTAGTTTTAATGTATTACTAACGACGAGCGAAACGACGAATGTTTTTATATTGTCAAAGTATACGAAATTATACGAGACATTTTTCGAATCTTCAGTTTTAAATATTGTTCTTCTTTTATTTTGTATCACAGATGCGAAATTGTAATTCTCGATATGCAAGAATCTTTCCCGTTTATACATAATAAAAAGACACATTCGTATTCATTTTCGTATTTTCGCGCATTATTTTTAGAAAATTATTATCGAAAATTGTTATAGAAAAATGCCAATAAAATGTTTTTTTCCATACATCTTTATTTCGAACAATTACAAATAGATTGTCGAATTGTTTTTTAGAACATAAAATTCATCTTGCATTTCAAGATAATTTGCATCTCAAAATAATTTGAACAAATTTGTAGCTTAAATAATTAAATATGCAACGTAAATACACAGAAGCAAGTGTAATAATGTCGATGCAACTGTGAATCAAAGGAAAATTCAAATTATGAATATGTTGGATTTTTGTTGCATTAAAGAGATGCGTTGTAACTTAAGCAGTTTTGAGTGCATACTTGATGCGCCAAATCATCACTGCATTGAACGGAACACAGTAAGATAAGACAAAGAAGTTTTTACAACCTTTAAAAAATAAAAGATTTTTCTTGATAAATTACGCTTATGACAATAAAAATTAAAAACACAGTAATGCAGTTATATATTTACCATGGCAAAGTTATCGATAGATAGAATCATTAGTTTACCAGCTGTTATTTTGCAAGGTATTACTGTTTTGTACATCATTAGGAGCAGAAGTTTTCGACATCTTTGCGAAGTATAATACCAATTGGCCCTGCAGCTATTACGTGAAACAAGAAAAATTAAAATTAAAATGATTAACGATAAATCTAACAAACATTTATACTAGGTTTTTATCTCGCCGTCCAAACATAAAAAGTCACAAAATTAATACATTTTGTATATGCTACATATAAAAAGATTATTTATAGCTTATAGCAATTATAATTAATATGCCCATAACAAAGAAAACTATACATTTTTATTTGAGTTTTCCCTCGAAGGCTTAAAAAAGAAAAGAGAAAAAGAAAATTAGGTAATTAGACTACTGATTTGAATTCATTCTTACATAGATTCATATGGGAGGATGCTGTAGTCAAGTAAAAATTGACCTTGCCAAAAAAGAAGAAATAAATGAATCAATTGTGCAACGTAGATAGTTAAGGGTCCGGTGATGTCATTTGCGCCTTTATCTAAATTCATTAGCACCTAAAATACATATGACATATTTTTGTCTACCGCATTGATAAATTTATCGATTACTATAAATTATTAAAGATGGTTATTTAAGATTTTTTCTCAATTTTTTCTGTTTGTTATCGTTGAAATATAATAAAAATGCTCGTGCTAAAATTTATTATTTGTAATGTAAATTTATTGTTATTTATTATATCAATAGAAAAGAATAGCTGATACATACTTGTATACCGGTTATACTGCTACTAATCATATTTAAGTTAAGAGTTATCAGAAATATTTTTGTAAATAACGATTCGATATGCGCTGCAAATCTGTGAAATGGGAACACTAAACGATAATTTGTAAATTAATATGTAAATACCAATATCAATGACAAAAATGAATGCAGATATCATTACATGTATTTCATACGTACTCTATCGTAATGATATGTCTACGTAAACAATGTAAAGTTTTACTGTAATTGTCATCTTTTACTTTGATTGGTTTCGCGTCAAAATTTTCCTCGTTATTTTTACCAATATCCTCCAGGGTGTTTCTGTAATGCCAGAAATATACTTTTGGTAAATCGAGATTTTGAGATTATATGAGTCATCGAAGAAATCGATTGCAAGAAGAATATTCCTGTTTTTTTCATGATTAAGAGAGATTTTTCATGATCAAAAAAGCTTACCCAATAATCGAGAACATTCCACAAGCATGCTGAATTAAACTGTAATACAATCCATCAACGGCGATTGTAGCAAACGAATGAGCGACTACGGCCGCATAATTATGTACTGCTATTGGATATATATATTGATTGAATTTTTCGCCGTACTCCACGTGGAAGGGTAATCTCGATGCATATGTTATAGAAGATTTTGTCAGATTGAAGACATCATTCGCTGTCAGAGTCAGCACGATTGGTTTAAGCATGAAAAGGCACGCAGTCGTGTGCATGAAAACTAGGAAACGTATAACTGTATGCAATATTTTCAAGCATATATTTATTGATATGTTTAAAAAAATTGATTTTTGCAATTAGTACATTTTTTATGCAATTTTTCTTTAAGGGGATGTTGGAGTGACCAAATTGTCGGAACATTGCATTCGATATAAATCTCCGAATTTATTCCTAAATGAAATAAAAAATTCTTTTACAAGATTAAAGTAGACGCAAAATTTGGAGATGCTGCAGTGGACTTTATACTAAAGTCGAATTAAAAAGATATTATAATCAAATCAAATTAAATGGTTCTTATACCGAGTAAATATATGTTTACATTTAGTAAATATTGAACTAACATTATTCAAACAAATATTTATTAAAATTTAATATATTAGGTGTTGGAATTAATTCGTAGCGTTTTACAAGTGATGGGAAGTACTTTCATTAATGTATTTTTTAATGCTCATGTGAAATAAATAACATTCTTTCATTAAAAACGCTACGAATTAATTCCAACACCTAATACAATTTTTTTCTCTCAGTATAAGATTGTGAGAAATATGATCCAGAATGCACGGTTACGTATATGTGTCAAAATATTTACGTAAATTTTTACAACTTTCAAATTCTACACACCTGCATAAAATGTTTCCAGATATTGTCCATACTTAGTATGCCGTTCCAAAATAATCTTTTCTACATTTGTATTTAATGATAGCCAGTCCTTTTGTATTATGTTAAGACAAGTCTTTAACTAAACAAATGTTCGTGTGTTTCTTACTATTGTCATATACAGGATATCCTTAAACTACAGCATCATCCATCTAGAGCGGACTAAACTGAGTCAAAAAGTCCTCTATTATTTTGCAATTTTTGTAATGGTTAACGAGATATTAATTACTAAAAGTCGCTAAATATATTGGTCTTCAATAATTTTTTACTTAAATACTATCAATTTTATAGAAAAACTGCAAGAGACAAAAAATCATTCATTTTCTTTTCATAGAACTCAACGAATTTTTTAAGAATTTTTTATTAACTTTTTAGTATTGCATTTTCTTATTTTTATCAACATGAGAAAATACGATATTAAAAAATTCTGAAAAAAATTTCAGAATTTTATGAGAAGAAAATAAATAATTTTTACTCTTACTGTTTTTTCTGTAAAATGATAGTATTTGAGTAAAAAATTATTGAAGACCAATATTTAGCGATATTTAGTAATTATTATCTCGTTAACTATTGCGAAAATTGCAAAATGGTAAAGGACTTTTCGATTCAATTAATCCATTCTATCTGCTCAGGATGGGTGATGCCGTACCATTACTTACTTTCTCACTATTTAACATTATGATCAATATTTTGAAACTGAATATCATGCTGATGAATATTGATGGCGCACACTCGAATACGTCATCAAGAGTGGTCGAGCCGATCAATAAATAAAGTATCTATATTGGATTTAAACGTAATTACGAAATTGATAAGTTGAGCATATTTTTCTAAATTTGAAATGACTACGTAGACATATATTTATTTTCTTATAATTTTCCACATACATTTAATATTGTTATTTTTCTGATAAATTATATTAAAATTTGTTTGACAGTTTCTCTTCTTTTTCTTCTTAAAATTAAAGTGATATCTTTTAAAAATTTAATAAAATTTGACATATACATATATATACATATATATATATATATATATATATATATACACACATATATATTCATGCATGTATATGTGATTTTCATTATTCAGTTTAATGAATAAACTATATATTGATATATTAAATTAACTTCTAATCATAAAAGAAAATAGTAATTTTGTAGTGCAAGAAATAGATCATAGAAAATTCTTCTCTGGCAAACCTTTTAATAGATATACCTGAGGTATCAGAATAGTAAAGCTAAACACAAACAGTGACACAAAGCGAATACATCTATCGCGAAGTTTATGATACGGCCATAATCCCGAAATAGTCAGATATAATCTAAGAACGAAGTAATAGCGGCTTTGACAAACATCTTCCTTGTCGTTCATTTTTCGGAATATTAAGATTGCGAACTCTATTAGCGATTCAATGCAAACGTTTGACATTCGAGAAATTGCAGAAACTTACTTATCAATTCTATCTATCTTCTGTTCCGTACGGTACTGTAACAGTACCGTAATTACGCTAAGGTATAAGCACCTCCATTTACTGTCTGCATTTTAGCAATGTTCTTTCTACATTATAAAGCTAGCACCTTATTGTTTCTCTCTGAAAGGACATTTTCCTTTACTTTCATATTCTGTTTCCATTATTGTGAATCAGTTTCAAATGTAACTCTTAACACATTATGTGAATTTATCTCGTGCGGGAAAAGACAAAACTTTGTACTGCATTCGAACAATGGAATGATTGCAAAAAGTAAATAGCAGACATGAATTACGTAAGAATATAAGATACTGTTATTTCGATTCAATTTAAGAAAATTTTTACGGACTCTGACGTTTATGAATAAATTTCTGATTTGAGTTTGATTTGAGTAAAGTTGAGATAAATAGAGATGAAATGTAATTCCTAAAATTCAACAGATCTTGATTATAGATCATCTCATCATCCGTCCGCTTTTTGGATAAATACTTTCTGGAATAAATTAGTTATATCCGTATAATAATGATAATAAACAATTATTAACAATTAATTTATACATATAATTATGTTAATTACCGATATAAGTAATTCTTTTACTTTCTTACTTTTTCATTGAAAATTTCAATGAGTTTTGTTATGTTAATGTAAACTTCTAGATATTACAAAGTCGTATGACATAAAAGTAAAAATTGATGCTACTTCTTATGTTAAAATGTATTGTGTATTCTATTACTTGTTGTTGTTCAATTAATGCATATAACATTTTTATTTTGTACGTTCAAGCAAGTTTTTCAGTAAGCAAAAATAACAATTAATGACAAAGATTTTTTTATTCCACCATGATGACACAAATTTTGTTTCAAGATTATGTAACGTTTGCATTCATTTATTCGTTCAGATTCATTTATTCGTTATTGAGACGTTGATGACATTGTTTACAAAAAATTTTTAAATAGTTTTTACATGTCAACGTGTACAAAGTTGTCGTACAATACATATTTTGAGTGTTCAGTCTCAAGTCTCTTTCTTTTTTAATTTTATATCAAAATACGTACAAACTAATTAACCTTTTTCGCTTGTATTATAATCGAACATGCATATACATATTAGGTGTTGGAATTAATTCGTAGCGTTTTTAATGAAAGAATGTTATTTATTTCACATGAGCATTAAAAAATACATTAATGAAAGTACTTCCCATCACTTGTAAAACGCTACGAATTAATTCCAACACCTAATATTTTTACACATTGTTACAAACACACTATTGTGTATTTTCCCGTATTGTTACAGAAATTGCAGTAAAATGTTTTTTTATGCACCTTTATTTCGGATAATCATATAACATATAAGTTGTTGAATTGTACATCCTTTTTCTAGATATATAAAATTCGCCTACAACTTGCATCTCAAAATATGTACAAATATATAGCTTAAATGTGCAACGTAAATGCACACATTGCACAGTATGTGTAATAATTAATACGTTGATACTACCGTGAAATCAAAGAAAAATTCGAGTTATATACTAATAATTAGATTTTTGTTGCATTAATCAGGGAATTTAGTCATTTGGGATATTTTTACATTCCAGCAGCGAAAAAATGTTGTAAAATATTATTTTACATGAATATTGTTTTGCATATTTTTTCCTCTTTTAATATCTATTCTTTATAAACTTTTAAATATGCAATTCCATCAAAAAACCTGACCTTGTGAACCTAGAACCCGATTTTTTATAAATTAAATTTGTTTTATATTATAAAAAACTATACTTAACGTGCTTATTCCGTTTAATATTGGTTTAATTTTTACTTATTTTTTTCAAAAAATATGAATAAATCTAGATCCATAATGTTTTTAAATGACAATATAAATAAAACAATGTATAATATTGTTAATAATACTGATAGAAATATAAAAACACCCCAGGTGATTGTTTACATAAAAAAGGAGTGACTCGGGTAAAGAAATGCATTTTAATTTAAGAGGTTTTTGAATAAATATTTAAATGCGCCAAATCATCATTGCATAGAACGAAACACGGTGAGATAAGATAGAGAAGTCTTCACAACCTTTAAGAAATAAAAGTTTTTTCGGTAAACTGCGATTATAACAACAAAAATTAAAATACAGTAATGCAGTTATATATTTACCATTGCAAAATTATCGATGGATAGAATCATTAATTTACCAGCTGTTATTTTGCAAGGTATTACTGTTCTATACATCATTAGCAGCAGAAGTTTTCGACATCTTTGCGAAGTGTAATACCAATTCGCTCTACAGCTATTATGAAATGAAAAAAATTAAAATTAGAATGATTAACGATAAATGTAAAGCAAGTATTTATAATTTATATTAGGTTTCTATCTTGTCATCTAAACACAGAAAACTACAAAATCTGTTTTTTTATTTGTCTATTTTTTTATCTTGTGTATGTTACATATAAAGGATCAGTTGTAGATAGTAATAATATTAGAATTAAAGTAGAATTATTAATGTGCAATTATTTATAGCAATTGTAAATAATTTGTCCAAAATATAAAATAAATCATACGCTTTTATTTAAGTTTTTCTTTAGAGTTTAGAAAAAAAAAAAGAAAAATGAGGTAATTAGACTGAATTGAATAAATTTGCATTCTTACATAGATTCGTATGGAAGGATGCTGTAATCCAGTAGAAATTGACCTTGCCAGAAATGAAGAAACAAATGAATGAGTTGTCCAAAATACATACTAATAGGTGCGACGATGTCATTCACATTCTTGTCAAAATTTATCAGCATCTAAAATGCATATTTATTATAATTACTATCCACACTTCTTTCGGCTAACGCACTATAGTTGTTTGAAATATTGAATAGTGATTATTAAAGCCGATGAAAGCTAAAAATGGTATTATTTTTCTCAAATTTGTTTTTATCTTCGCGAAAATTCTTATTTCATTCCATTCTATACCAAAAATACTTATAACGTAAAAAGAAAAAAACTAATACGTACTTGTACCATATAAACTGCCAATAATCATGTTAAAGTTAAGATTTATCAGAAATATCTTTGTATACACAGATTCAATATGTTCCGCAAATCTGCGAAATGAGAACACTAAATAATTATAATTAATATGAAGTATCGCACAATGGCAAAAACAGGGGTCGTTACTTGATATTTCTTTATACGTACTCTATTACACCGAGATGTCTACGTAAACAATGTAAAGTTTTATAATAATTGTCGTCTTTAATTTTATCTGATTTTGTGTCAAATGACTCGTCTGTGTCATTTTTTCCAATGTTTTCCAATACATTTCTGTAAAGTCAAGAAAAATATTGATGCTTTTGAAAAAGTAAAATTTTATAAGTTGTCAAAGAAATAAACAAATTTTTGAAGAATACTGTTATCTTTTTATAATCAAGAGAGATCGTTTTTACCCAATAATGGAGAACATTCCACAAGCATGTTGAATGAGGGTATAATACAAAGCATCAGCCACGACTGTGGCAAACGAATGAGCGACTACGGCCACATAACTATGCACTGCTATTGGATATATATACTGATTGAATTTCCTGCCATATTCTACGCGGAAGGGTAATCTCGACTCGAATGGAATGGAAGATTTTGTTATATTAATGATATCATCCGTCATCAGGGTCAGCATGATTGGTTTCACCACGAAAAGGCTCGCCGTCGTATGCATTAAAACTAGGGAAAACGATATTCGTCGCAAGATTTTAAAATCATTATACATTCATTGATATGTTTAATAAAATAAAAAGATCAATTTTTCGCGATAAGCATGTTCTTTATACAATTTTTTTATAAAGTTTAATGACAATGCTGTAAGATTGAAGAGAATATGATCTAGAATACACACTTATATGTGTGCGTTCAAGATAATATTTATTTAAGTTTTTACAATCTTGGAATTATACACACCTGCATAAAATGTCGCCAGATGCTGTCCATACTTACTATGCCGTTCCAGAATAACCTTTTCTACTGAATTTAATGATTGCCAGTCCTTTTGTATTATATTAAGACAAGTCTTTACCTAAACACATGCTTGCGTATTTCTTGCTAATGTAACATTTGTTCATATAAAAGTCAAGTGTTAATGCAAGTTTGAAAATTTTTATTACTTACTTTCTCGCTATTTAACATTATAAACAATAGTTTAGAGCTGAATGTTATACTGATGAATATTGGTGGCACACATTCAAACACGTCATCGAGAGTGATCGAGCCGATTAGTAGATAAAGTATCTGTATTAGAGTTAAACGCAATCACGAATTCATAAATTAATCATTTTTTTTAATATTTAAAAATCTATGTACACATATATTTACTTTTTTATAATTTTCCAAAAATTATCAAAATACTTTTTTATAATTTTCCAAAAATCATTAAAATTTTTATTCTTCTGATAAATTATTGTATATCAAAATTTATTAACAGTCTATTTTTCCATCTTTCTTTTTCGGATTTTATATTAAAGTTATATCTTTCAAAAATTTAATATAATTTGGCATACGTATGCGTAAGCGTATATGTGTGTAAGTTTCATATAGTTTGATGAATAACTGTATCAATATATTAAACTTCTAGTCGTGTAAAAAAAAAAAGAAAAATCATGCAATGAGTAACTCTGCAGCGCACTAAACAGATGATATATTCTTCTTTGGCAAATCTTTCGATAGATATACCTGAGGTATCAGAATAGTAAAGCTAAACACAAACAACGGCACGAAGCGAATACATCTATCGCGAAGTCTATGATATGGCCATAATCCTGAAATACTCAAATAGAATCTAACAACACTGTAATATCGGCTTTGTGCACTGTGGTCTTTCTTCTCAATCATTTTTCGGAATAAGAAGATAGCGAAATATCAACTATTCCATTTGTACTTTATTCCACTCAACGTTCAATTTTCAACAAATTATATAAGATTACTTATTGATTTCTTCCATCTTCTATTCAGCAACAGCATGTAATTGCGCTGAGGAATATACGGACAATTACCTACTGTGTTCCAATCCTTTTCCTTTTACATTTTTAAAGCCGTTACTTATCGTTTCTCTTTGAAGAGACATTTTATTTTAATTTCATATTCTGTATGGAATCTTCATAGTCTTATGGTTTTTTTAGAAATCTCGTCTTAGAAAAGATGCAACTTACTTACGTACTGCAGTTGTTAGAGAAAGCTGTACATACTTGCGTTAGAGAAAGTAAATAGTAGAAGTGATAAATGACACGCGTGAAAATATGATATATTATTAGTTTAAAATAATTTAATAGAGCCTAATTATTAATCTATAAACTACATTTATTTACCTTTAATTTAAATAAAGTTGACCAATGTAACGTTAATAAAATGTGGATTGTAGAATTCATATATAATTTTCGAAGTGTCTCCTTGTTCACCTTCACTGTTAATTAGGAAGATAAATTTTCCAGAATACTTGATCGGTTACATGTAGTTTACATCAATTAACTTACATATTTATGTAAAGTTACATGAGCCAAAAATTGTTAGAGAAAAGTGGACTTCTTTGATAAACATCTATAAGTAAACTTCTGGATATTGCGAAAAAAAATGATAAGTATTTGTATGGAAGCAAGAGATGATACTTAATTATTGTAATGAAATACATGCATATGATTATATTAATATGTATATATCTATATTTTGGTTGCTATACAATTGAAGAAAAATTATATCAAAAATTATAAAGAAAAAAGAAAAGTACATATAATACATAAAATTTTTATTACATTAAAGAGATGTATTTTAATTTAGACAATTTTGATGATTCATGCGCCAAATCATCACTGGAGAGAACGAAACATAGTGAGATAAGATAGAGACGTTTTTACAACCTTTAAGAAATAAAAAATTCTTTGATAAGCTACAATTACAACAGTATAATTTGTAGACATAACAATACAATTTTACACTTACCGTAGCGAAGCTTTCAATAGATAAAATCACTATTTTGCCGGCGGTGATTTTGCATGGTGACGTCGTTCTGTTCATAATTAGAAGAAGAAGTTTTCGACATCTGTGCGAAGCATAATACCAATTCGCTTTGCAGCTATTATTCAAAATAAGATAAATATAAATGATAAATAATAAACCTTTATATATTAATAGTAAAACCAAATATTGATGTATTGTAATATTAAATCTTTATTTAACACTGAAAGTTGCAATCTATCTTTTGATTTGTATAGGGTAAACTTGGTTAAGATGGCTATACGGAAAAGATGACCATAAGCTTTTAGAATAATTACAAAAATACTCTATTTAATAATTATTGGCTAAATTACAGCTCATGGCCATTTTTTTCTGTATCGCCATAATACCCGAATAATTGTAAATAATTGTAAATATGAAGGAATTGTAATCAGAATTAAAATAACTATAAATGTGCGATTATTTATAATAATAATTGTAAATAATATGCCAAAAATCACACTAATAGTTTTGATACAACTATTTTTCGATGATTTAAAAAAAGGATAAAAGTATCGATTTGGGAACCAAGCTCGAATGACCTTGACTTTGACATGCTGTCAAGATCGTGACCCTGAGTGATTTTCAACAAATTTTAGCCGTCGCTCATTTTTCGTTAAAAAATTATAAACAAAAGATATTTAAGAAATAACGTCTCATTTCTGTTATACAAAATCAAAATTTTGACTCTCCCCCCACCTTCCCTTCTGCTTGGGGGGGGGGGGCGCACGACTTTCATCTGAAGCGACTCTACCCTTAAATCTCCCCCCCTGCTTGGGGGTATACGATTTCCACGAAATCGACTTTCACCCTACCTCTTCTCTGCTTTAAACAGTCAAATTCTTCACATTAAAAATAAATTTTCTGCTAAAGCAGTGAACTTGTGTTCGCATGCCACTAGACAATGGGAGAGGTGGAATGCAGTAGGTGGATGTAGTTTAGAATAGTTTCTGATGTTATATATAGCCGAAATAGGACGTTATTTTTTCAAACTTTTTTTTGTTAATAACTTTTTAATGAAAGAACGATGGCTACAACTTGTTGGAAGTCGCTTAGGGTCATGACTTTGACAACATATGTATGTCAAGATCAAGATCAGTGGAGCTTGGTCATTGGAGCTCTAATCGATATTTTTATCAAAAAAAGAAATAAATCAGAAAAATAAGGTAACTAATTATGAAAGAATCGACTTAAATTAACATGCACACTTACATAGATTTATATGGAAGGATACTGTAATCAAGTAAAAATTGAGCTTGCCAAAAATGAAGAAACAAATGAAGGAATTGTGCAATATACATAGTTATTGGCCCAGCGATATCCCTTGCGCTTTTATCTAAATTCATTAACACCTAAAATACACATTTAACTTATTTTCGTATTTATTTCGGCTGTCGCACTGGCGAAATTTGCAACGATTATGAGGATGTTACTAAAGATTATTTTTCCATAATGTTGTTAAAATGTGACAAATCCTCGTATGTTCTAAAATTATTTGTACTGTAAAAAAGAAAGATGATACGTACTTGTATATCAGTTGATACGTACTTGTATACCAGTTAAACTTCCAATGATCATATTTAAGTTAAGATTAATTAGAAATATTTTCGTAAATAATGATTCGATATGTTCAGCAAATCTATGAAATTAGTATATTACACAATTATATGTGAATTAATATATATAAATATATGTATAAATATCAACGATAGAACGTTATGCAGTATATTTTTAAACATACTCTATCACGAGAGGATGTCTACGTAAACAATGTATAGTTTTACTGTAATTATTATCCTGTATCTTAGCTCGTTTTGTGTAAAAAATATCCTCGTTATTTTTGCCAATGTTCTCCAGTGTGTTTCTGTAATGTAAGAAATATCATTGCTTTTGGCAAACCGAGATTTTGAAATTATGTCACTGAAAAAATTGATTATAATTCAAGAAAAGCGTCTCTATCTTTTTATGATCAACGGAGACTTTACCCAATAATCGAGAACATTGCACAAGCATGCTGAATTAAACTATAATACAAGCCATCGACCGCGACTGTGGCGAATGTGTGAGCGAACACGGCAATATAACTATGCAGTGCTATCGGATATATATATTGATTGAATTTCTCGCCGTATTCAACGCGAAATGGTAATCTCGGCACAGATTTTGTCACATTGAAGATATCATTCGCCATCAGAGTCAGCATGATTGGTTTAAGTACGAAAAGACACCCCGTCATATGCATGAAAACTAAAGAAAATGATAATCTTAGCAAAATTTAGGTTATTTTATTAATTTGTACAAAATACAAAGATTATACAATTTTTTTGATAAATATACTCTTTAAGCAATTTTTTTCAGAAGCAATAAAATAATGTTTCGTAAAATCGCGGAAGATCTTATATATGATTCAAAATGTTACTATATACCTGCATTGTACATACCTGCATAAAATGCTGCTAGATATTGCCCATATCTTGTATGCCGTTGCAGAATAATCCTTTCTATATCTGTATTTACTGATAGCCAATCCTTTCGTATTATGTTAAGACAAATCTTTACCTAAACACATGCTGCCGTATTTCTTGCTAATGTAACATTTTTTCACATAAAAATCAAGTGTTAATGCAAGTTTGAAAATTCATCACTTACTTTCTTGCTATTTAACATTATAATCAATAGTTTAGAGCTGAATGTTATACTGATAATTAGAGATGGCAGACACTCGAATATGTCATCGAGAGTTATCGAGCTGAGTAAGTAAAGTGCCTATTGGAATTAGTATAAAAAACATATAATGGCGAAATTGATAATTTGTTGTATTTTTAGAATTTATGATAGAATTATATAAGATAAATACAAATAGAGATAACAAACAAGAATATAAATAAAAAGCGCTCGAAGTTTGCACAGCAAAATAATTAAATTATCAACGATCAAATAAATGAGCAATATAAGGTGTTTTGTTAAAATGTTTAATATTAATTTAACATATCAATATGATAATATCAAATATATAATATAAAATGTAAATAAATGAATATAGATGTTTCGAGAGCCTTCTTCAGTATAATTAAATGAACACATCTCTTTCGCTTAACAACTATTTCAAATCAAAGAAAATTCCATGTCAATTTATTGATGATAATTGATAGTAAATCAAATATTTTTGGTCGTTGATAATTTAACAGATAGAGATATACATATAATGATTTTATAATGTGTTTTCGATAGAAAAAAAAATACATTATACATCATATATTTATTGTAACTTCATACATTTACTATTATCAATAATTATCAATAATTGTCAATAATTTACAATTACATTTGAATACATCAAAATTTATTTTATGTATCTGTTCTCTTTCTAATTAAAGTTATTCGTATGTATGTTAAATATTTAATGAAATTTAACATACGCGTACATAATTAATTAATAGATTCATTAGATAATTGCATTCGATATATTTTTGATCACTCAAGAAAAAAATGTACATACGATCAATAAGCAGCACAATAAATGAATTCTTTTTTTTGATAATTTTTGAATATATATACCTGAGGTATCGCAATACTAGAGCACAATATAAACAACAACACGAAGCAAATACATCTGTCGCGAAGATTGTAATATGGCCATAATCCTGAAATAGTCAGATATAATCTAAGAACAGCATAACGTCGGTTTTGCTCAACGTCTTTCTTGTCGAACATTTTTCGAAATAAGATGATTGCGGACTATATTGACTATTCTATGTGAACGTCAACATTCAAAGTTCAATTTTCAATAAATTGCGGAAGATTGCATATTGATTTCTTTCATCTTCTATTCAGCAATATTATAGTAATTGCGCTGAGAAATAAGCGAGCGATTAACTATTATGTTTCAATCATTTCTCTTTTACATTGTTAAAGCTGTTGCTTATCATTTCTCTTTGAAGGAACACTTTCTTGTAATTTTATATTACGTATCTCATGTTTCTATTTCCTCTTGGAAACTCTCTCTCTCTCTCTCTCTCTCTCTTAGAACTTTATACTGCTTTAGAGAAAGCTGTATATACCTCTTTTAGAGAAAATAAATAGCAGAAATGACAAACGTTGTGAAAATATGATATATTATTATAGTTTAATCACAAATTTTTTCAAATTGTTTGTTCGTTCTTCTGCACTGTTAATTAGAAAGGTAAGTTCTTCGAAATGTTTGATCGATTGATTACATACGTAACTTATGTTGATAAACAATTAACTTACATACTTATGTAAAGTTACGCGGGTCAAAAAATTTTTAGAAAAGAGCGGATTTACACACACATTATACGTAAGTCCGTTCTTTTCTAAAAATTTGTGTGTGTGTGTGTGTGCGGGTGCGCGCGCGTGTGTATGTGTACATGCATAGGTAAAACGGATAATTTTTTAAAATAAGTTATTTTTTAAAATAAATTACTTTTAGTTAATGAAAATATTAATGTATGATTATTAAAAAATTGATAGTTTATGTAAATATTGAATATTTCACATCAATATATGCCAGAGTGTAAAAGATTTGTATACTATTGATTTTTCAATATTTCTCTAATTGAATATTTCTATGTGCATAATAATAAGAGAAACCATATTATTACAAAAAAATTATTTTATTTAAAAAAAATGAATCTTTTTAACTCTTCCACTTAGAAAAAAATATAACAAAAATATATTCTTCTTGAAACCATTTTACTTTTATTCGAAATATTTTTTCGTATCATCAAAAATAAGTGAAATGTTAAAAGATTTAAATTTAAATGGATCATGTACATAAGTAAACTTCTAGATATTGTGAAAGGTTGCTGTGCATCTGTATGGAGCGAAAGATGATACTATTTATTGTGCAGAAATGTATGCATGTACTTATATTTATACGTATAATATCTACATTTCGATTGTCATCAAAATCGAAGAAAAATATTAGAAATTATAAAGGAGAAAAGAAAAAAATATATAATACGTACAATTTTTATTGTATTAAAGATATATATTTCAACTTAGACACTTTTGAATAAATTAAAAACATCAAATCATCACTGGAGAGAACGAAACATAGTGAGATAAGATAGAGACGTTTTTACAACCTTTAAGAAATAAAAAAATCTCTCGATAAGCTAGAATTATAACAATATAATTTACAAATATAACAATACCATTTTATATTTACCGTAGCGAAACTTTCAATAGATAAAATCACTATTTTCCCGGCGGTGATTTTACATGGTGACGTCGTTCTGTTCATAATTAAAAGAAGAAGTTTCTGACATTTATGCGAAGCATAATACCAATTCGCCCTGCAGCTATTATTTGAAATAAGATAAATATAAATTAAAATATTATATAAATATAAATTAAAGATAAATATAAATTAAAATAGAAATATAAATTTAAAAGATTAATAAATTATATTAATAATAAATCGAATGTTTGTGTTAGGTCTTTAAGTGTGCGATTATTTGTAGCAATTGTAAATATTATAATATACTCCAAAAATATAAAAAAATCATTCGTGCCGATACAAGCGATGGTTTAAATTATTTAGAAAAAAGAAAAAAAATCTCAAAGAATCGAACATATTGAATATTCGATTTGAATGTTCGAATAGTTTGAAGTAAAAAAAAAATGAATGTTTATTTTAAATACTTCGGACAATTCGAGTTTAAGAAGATCGGTCTTAGAACTGTCAATTTAGTTATGTCTGAAGTTCGGACAGTTTAAACTGTAAAGAAATATAGTGTACCTTGGGAAGAGCAGTTGTTCACAAAAAATCTTTTTTTTTTAGATGGTTGCTTAGTAAAGTGTTGAAAATTTAAAATGCCTCATCACAGAGCTACCCAAAATCTGCACAATTTAGATAAAAATATTAAGAATGTTTTAGCTACAATATCAGCTAAAAATAATAGTCAATCAATCAAAATAAGCTGATATTAATCAATATCAAAAAATTTTGATGATATTAGCCCGTGAATATGCTCTGAAACCACAACTGCAAAAAAATAAAATAACAAATAATTTGGCTTATAATGATTTTACGTATCAAAATAACTATATTTTTTGTTTTTTAGGTTTTTTAGATTTTTTAGGTCAATTTTTAAACAAATGAGTAAATCCAAATAAATTTTTGCATGAATATTTATTGTTGTTTGATGTGCAGAATTCGACCGAGCAACCTTCTCGTGGTATATATCGGGTTATACGCAAATATCGGCGGTATTGTGCTGAAAATTTACTGAGAAAAAGATTTCCTAATTTTTTTGAGCAATGTAAATTAAAAGCTATATCTTTACCAAACGAAAACAAGGTGAGAATATGTTTCTGAGGTTAAATTTGTATGCAAGTTTATACAAATAAATGTAAATATCTTTCCAGAATGGCTGTTGACCTATTACTTTTTGTTATCATTACAAATGTAATGCTTTGAACTATTATAATCTCATTTTTTAGAGAAGTCTGGTGATATTTGTGTTGAGTTAGTCACAAAGAAGCATTTCCAATCCTTAACTGTTACTAATTATAAATTATACATTAAAAGTTACATTTTTAACATTTTTTCTCCATCATTTCATTGTTAACCTATTCTAGAATTTTGCATGTTCAATATTTTAGCCATTACATTAATTATATAGAAAGAAATTAGATATTTCTGATAATTCGGTTTAATAATAAGAATCACCTTAAAATTATATGAACCTTATAAAAATGTCTTTACTGTCCCGTACTGTCCGAACTTCAGACATAATTAATTGACATTCTTATCGATGCTTGAATACGAACTGATCGAATTGTTCGAACTATTTAATGTTTAATCTTTAGATTCGAACTGTCCGAACTGTTCAATTATCTCACGTTCCCAAGCTCTAGAAAACAATCAGAAAAATGACATAATCAAATTATAAAAGAATTAACATGAATTAACATTAATTTGCATTCTTACATAGATTCATATGGAAGGACGCTGTAGTCAAGTAAAAATTGACCTTGCCAGAAATGAAGAAACAAATGAAGGAATTGTGCAATATAAATTGTTATAGGCCCAGCGATGTCATTTGCGCTCTTCTCTAAATTCATTAACACCTAAAATGCACATTTTTTCAATTTACTTTCGTATTTATTTTGACAGTCGCACTGGCAAAATTTGTTGCGATTTTGAAGATGTGGTTACTAAAGATTTTTTTTTTATAATATTGTTAAAATGTAACAAATCCAAGTACATTTTAAATTTACTCATAATATAAAAAGGAAAAATTGATACGTACAGTAGAATCTCTATCATCCCAACCTCGATTTTCCGATATTTCGCTTAATCGACTATGCATTATTCATTACTTTATTTTGATATCGATTATTTTCTAATATGCGTACAACTTCGAATTTTGCTATGCATTTATGTCCCATTTACATATACGCTCTTTTTTGCCAAATTTTTCCTTTTATAAAAAAAATCGCGTAATAAACCTAATCATTGATTTTTTAGTTGCACTCATTTAAATAATTGTCCATGTTTTTTTAAATAAAATAAAATATAATCCGGACTATATCCGATTTTCACGATTATTCGATCTAATTCTGGTCCGTATTAGATCGGACAATTGAGATTCTACTGTATTTATATACCAGTTGATACGTACTTGTATGCCAGTGAAACTTCCAGCGATCATATTTAAATTAAGATTAATTAGAAATATCTTTGTAAATAACGATTCGATATGTTCCGTAAATCTGTGAAATAATGACATTACACGAATATATGTAAATTAATATGTAAATTAATATGTATACAATACATCAATATCAATGATAAAAATGGATAGATGTTATACAATTTTGTTTTCAAACGTACTCTATCACAAGGAGATGTCTACGTAAACAGTATAAAGTTTTACTGTAATTATTGTCCTGTATCTTAGCTTGCTTTACGTCAAAAATGTCATCGTTATTTTTACCAATGTTCTCCAATGTGTATCTGTAATGCCAGAAATATTGATGCTTTTGAGACTTCGAGATTATGAGTCATTGAAGAAATTGATTGCAATTCAAGAAAGGCATCCCTATCACTTCATGATCAAGGGAGATTTTACCCAATAATTGAGAACATTCCACAAGCATGCTGAATTAAACAATAGTATAAGCCATCAACCGCGATTGTGGCGAACACGTGAGCGAACACGGCTGTATAACTATGCACTGTTATTGGATAAATATATTGATTGAATTTCTCGCCGTATTCAACGCGAAATGGTAATTTCGATATAAATGGTACAGAAGATTTCGTCGCATTGATGATATCATTCGTCATCAGAGTCAGCATAATTGGTTTAAATATAAAAAGACCTGACGTCACATGCATGAAAGCTAAAGAAAATAATAATCTCAGCAAGATCTTTTTTTTTTAAAGTTATTTTAACAATATGCATAAAATACAAAGGTCAATTATTTCGATAAATATATTCTTAAGCAATTTTTTGAAAACGAAATAAAATAATGTTTCGTAAAATCGCGGATGATATGATCAAAAATGCACGCAAGTTTCTAAAACATCTGCATTGTACATACCTGCATAAAATACCGCCAAATATTGGCCATACCTGGTATGTCGTTGCAGAATAATCTTTTCTACATCTGTATTTGCTGATAGCCAATCCTTTCGTATTGTGTTAAGACAAATTTTTACCTAAACACATGCTGCCGTATTTTTTGCTTATTGTAACATTTTTTTAGCATAAAAGTCAAGTGTTAATGCAAGTTTGAAAATTTATCACTTACTTTCTTACTATTTAACATTATAATCATTAATTTAGAGCTGAATATTATACTGATAATTAGAGATGGTAAGCTCTCGAATACGTCATCAAGAGTTATCGAACCAATTAATAAGTAAAGCGTCTGTATTGAAATTATAAAGTAAAACGTATAATTGCTAAATTGATTATGTTGTATTTGTAGAATATTTATAATAGAATTATACAGGGTGATTTTAACATATTTCGTCATCCATCATGAGTAGGTAGAGTGAATCGGACTGACTCGAAAAGTCATCTACCATTTTGCAGTTTATGCAATGGTTAACGAGATATTAATTACTAAAAATTGCCAAATATTGTCTTGAATAATTTTTTATTCAAATACTATCAACTTTATAGAAAAACTGCAAGAGACAGAAATCATTAATTTTCTTCTCATAGAACTCTAAAAATTTTTTATCAACTTTTTAGTATTGTATTTTCTTATTTTTACCAACATGAAAAAAATTCTCTTTGATTACATTAAAATTTATCTTATGTCTTTTTTTTGTCCTCTTTCTTCCGTCTCTTATTACATTAAAGTTACACATATAAACTTTAAAAATTTGAACATGTGCGCGTGCAGTTAATTAATAGATTCATTGTATAATTGTATATCAATACATTTCTGATCGTTCAAAGAAAGAAAGTATACAATTAATAACTTTGCAGCATAATAAACGCACTTTTTTTGCTAACTTTTGAATGTATATACCTGAGGTATTGCAATACTAGAGCAGAATGCAAATAATGGCACAAAGCAAATACATCTGTCGCGAAGATTATAATATGGCCATAATCCTGAGATGGTCAGGTATAATCTAAGAACAGCGTAACGTCGGTTTTGTTCAACGTCTTTCTTGTCAAACATTTTTCGGAATAAGATGATTGCGGACTATATCAACTATTCTCTATGTGAAATTCTCAACATTCATCGTTTAATTCTCAACAAATTGCGAAAGATTGCTTATCGATTTCTTTCATCTCCTATTCAGCAGTAGTATCGTAATTGCGCTAAGAAATAAGCAGGCGATTACCTACCGTGTTTCAATCATCTCTCTTTTACATTTTTAAAGCCATTGCATATCATTTCTCTTTGAAGGGACATTTTCTTTTAATTTTATATTCCGTATGTTACAGTTTTATCTCGTCTTGGAAAAGGAACTTTATACTGCTTTAGAGAAAGCTGTACATGTCTGTATTAGGGAAAGTAAATAGTAAAAGTGCCAAACAACACTTGTGAAAATATGCTATATTATTAGTTTAATCACAAATAATTTTTGAATTATCTCTTCGTTCTTCACTACTGTTAATTGGAAAAATAAGTTTTTAAATCCGGTAATTATATGCGTAGCTTATGTCGATAATTAGCTTACATAATTATGTAATGTTACATGGATCAAATGTTTTTTAAAAGAGCGGACTTATATACAAGGTATTTGGAAAATAATGATAAATCTTTCGCATAGAGGTAGAAATATTATCAACTTTACAGAAAAATTGCAAGAGACAAAAATTGTTTATTTTCTTCTCATAGAACTTTATGAATTTTTTCTGAATTTTTTATCATTTTTTTAGTACTGTATTTTCTCATTTTTATCAACATGAAAAAATATGGTATTAAGAAATTCTGAAAAAATTTTTTAAAAATTCTTACATATTCCTCTGACACTGTATATTGGGGCTGTTTAATTATATATATTTAGACGGTTTAAAAGATCTAAAATATTATTTTTCAGCTGCCTTATTGAAACTACTTATTTTTTATGGTTAAAAATAATCACTCTTATTTTTTCAAATTAAAAAAAAATATATAGAGATTACATGAGCGTGATGTAGCAGACAACGCACTGGTCTGCTGCACCACAGAGATCTCGGATTTGATCCCAGGCAGAATCGAAAAATTTTCGTATACTCGTAGCTGCTCTTGGAAAACAATGGCATACCATTGAATTGGATACTTGTCTAGGAAACCTCCCTATCAAAAATTGCCGATCAGAATTCGGCGTTTAAACTGTAGGTCCCCATATACGTTGTGTATGATCAGTATGTGCACACGAGTATATGAGAGGGAGGTGCCTACGCGTTAAGATAGCGTATGGCACTTGAAGAAAAAGAGATTGCGCAAGTCGCATTTGTGATGAAAATTAATGTTTGATGAAAAAAACATTATTTACTGTGTATATAAATTATTAAAAAAATAAAAAATCGGAAAATTTGATATTATTTGTGGATTTGAATAAAAAGGGTAATTAAATATATTCAAAATCTCTTCATATTTTTATATTTATACTGTACAAGTTAATAATATTTTATAAGAACATTTTTAACAAATTGAAGTAAATATTGTATAATGTATGTATATTTTTTTAGTATCTTGAAAAGCTCTCGAGATAAGAAGAATACAAGAATACGCAATGAAAATGCGGATTTCTATTTAAAAAATTGATATGACCTTGACCTAATTTTGGCGATGCCTCTCAAACTGATAAGACCAGTTTTTTAAATTTACAATTTTTGTCTGAATTTTTTTTGAATTTTTTTCGAAAATTATTAGTTTCCAGAATATTGAGGAGTTTCGACACTTTTTTAACACCCTGTATATAGATATGTGTGTGTATGCGTGCGCACGTAATAATTTTTACCTTCAACTTTAACCTTTTAAATGGGGGTGCCAATCCATAGAAAATTTTAGATAAGAAGATAGATCAAATGATACATTCATCAGAAAGGTCTTCCAATTTCCTATATTTAAATCTAAAGTGTTAAATTTAAAACAAACAAATCTTCATATCTTCAAGCTTTTATTTTATTATCTATCAAATCAGTCTATTAATCATTTGCAAAAGGGTATTTAAGACATACCATCGTGTAAGTTAGCATAGTAATTGTTCGAAATATTGACCACCGATTTCCGCACAATAATAGATAATTATAAAAAAATTAATAGTTTACGAGATATTTAATATTTTATGTCAATATGTGCTAGAGTAATGTATAAAATATTTTGATCCTTCCTTTCGATAGCTCTTTATCTTGATATTTCTGTATGTGAAATAATAAAAAGTGGAATCATATTTAAAAAAAATCATATAATATAATATTTAAAAAATGAAGGTGATCTTTTAACACCTAGAAAAAAATGTGATCAAAATATATTCCTCTCGAAACCGTTCCACTTTCATCTTTCTAAAACATTTTTTCGTCTCATCAAAAATAAGATATGAAAAGATAAAAATGAAAAATTCAAAGTTTTTAATTTAAGTAAACTATGTTGTACGTAAGCAAACTTCTAGATATTATGAAAGGTTACAATATATCTATATGGAGCAAAAGATAATGCTATTTATTGTGAAGAAATATATGCATTTATTTTTACACATATAATATTTATATTTTAGTTGTTATAAAATTGAAGAAAAATATTAGAAATTATAAAAAGAAAAGAAAAATATTTATAACATACGATTTTTATTCTATTAAAGAGATGTATTTCAATTTAGACAGTTTTGAATAAATTATTCATGCGCCAAATCATCACTGGAGAGAACGAAACATAGTGAGATAAGATATAGACGTTTTTAAAACCTTTAAGAAATAAATACAATAAAATAAATACAACAAAATAAATACAACAAAATAATTTAAAATATAGGAATAGAATATACTTATAATATACTTTCTTATTTTACTTTATTATACTTACCGTAGTGAAGCTTTCAATAGATAGAATCACTATTTTGCCGGCGGTGATTTTGCATGGTATCGTCGTTCTGTTCATGATCAGGAGAAGGAGTTTTTGACATTTTTGCGAAGTATAATACCAATTCGCTCTGCAGCTATTATTCGAAATAAAATAAATATGAATTAAAATAATAAATATAGTAAATCTTTACATTAATATTGAACTGTAAGTATTTATGTTTCTATTAAATCTGTATTTTGACATCCAATATGGGAAACTATAATTTATCTTTTTATTCTTCTTGTTACATATGAAGGAATTGCAATTTCATTAGAATTAAAAAAATTATAAGCGCGAAATTATTTGTGGCAATTGTAGATATGCACCAAAAGTATAAAAAACCATACAGGGAGTTTGATAAGTAAAAATAAAACTCTCGCATAAAGACAATGGACTAAACCGAGTCGAAAAGTCTGCTACTATTTTGCAATTTTCGCAATAGTTAACGAGATATTAATTTAAAAATTGCCGAATATTAGTCTTGAATCATTTTTTACTCAAATACTATCAAGAAATACTTTACAGAAAAATAGTAAAATACAAAAATTGTTTATTTTTTTCTCATGTTCTAAACATTTTTAAAAAATTTTTTTAGAATTTTTTCAGAATGTTTTAATACTGTATTTTCTCATGTTGATAAAAATAAGAAAATACAGTACTAAAAAATTAATAAAAATTCTAAAAAAATTCTTAGAGAAGAAAATAAACAATTTTTGTCATTTGCTGTTTTAAAATTGAAAGTATTTGAGTAAAAAATTATTGAAAATCAATATTCTGCGATCTTTAGTGATTAATATCTTGTTAATTATTGCAAAAATTGCAAAATGGTACAGGAGTTTTCGACTTAATTTAATTCACTCTACCTCTGTTGCAAGAGTTTTATCATTACTTATCAAACACTCTGTATATATTTCATATACTAGCCTTTCTAGACTAAAGAAAGGAAAAAATTCAAAAAAATGATAATTAAATTATGAAGGAATAGACTTGAATTAACTTGCATTCTTACATAGATCTATATGGCAGAACGCTATAGTCAAGTAAAAATTGTGCGTTCCAGAAATGAAGAAACAAATGGATGAATTGTGCAGTATAGATAATTATAGGCACGGAGATGTCACTTGCGTTTCTCTCTAAATTCATTAACACCTGAAATGAACATTTAACTTATTTTTCTTTTTTTTTTGGTTGTTACACTGGTCAAATTTAACCTGATTATGAAGATGGACACTGGAAATTATTTTTCTTTCATAATTTTTTGTCGTTAAAATATGTATAATAAAAATCTTCATTCAAAATTATTTGTAATATAAAAAAGAAAAGTTGATATATACTTGTACACCAGCTAAACTGCCACAGATCATATTTAAGTTAAGATTTATCAGAAATATCTTCATAAATAATGCTTCGATATTTTCCGCAAATCTGTGAAATAAGAACACTAAATTTTTTATGTAAATATATGTAAATTAATATGTAAATATTATTTATTAATGGCAGAAATGGTTACCATTATTTTTTTATACATACTCTATCACATCGAGATGTCTACGCAAACAGTGTAAAGTTTTGTTATAATTGTTGTCTTTAATCTTATCTGATTTCGCATTGAAATCGTTCGCATTATTTTTTCCAATGTTCTCCAGTACATTTCTATGCCATGAAAAATACCGATGCTTTTGACAAATTCAGATTTTTATATAATAAATCATCGAAAAAATTGATAGCAATTTAAGAATTGTTATCTTTTTATAATAAAAAAAGAACTTACCCAATAATCGAGAACATTCCACAAGCATGTTGAATTAAAACATAGTACAAGTTGTCAACCGCTATTGTGGCGAACGAGCGAGTAAACACGGCCACATAATTATGCATTGCTATCAGATATATATATTGATTGAATTTTTCGCCGTATTCAACATTAAAAGGTAATCTCGATGCAATTGGTATAGAAGATTTTGTCGTATTGGAAATATCCGTAATCAGACTCACTATGATTGGTTTAAGCATGAAAAGTGTCGTCATTGTATGCACAAAAACTAGAATGAATGATATTCGTAGAAAGATCTTCAAGTCATGTGTTTATATATGTTTAAAGTATATAAGATTTTTTTCACAGTAAGTATATTCTTTAAGAAATATTTTTTTAAAGGCGCAATAATAATATTTTACAAAATCGCAGAAAATATGATCCAAAATGCGCACTTATATATAGGTATATGTGTGCGTTTAAGAATTGTCACAAGTTTCTACAATTATATACACACCTGCATAAAATGTCGCCAGATACTGTCCATATCTTGTATGCTGTTGCAAAATAATTCTTTCTACATCTGTATTTACTAATTGCCAGTCCTTTTGTATTGTATTAAGACAAATCTTTACCTAAACACATGCCATATTTCTTGCCATTGTAACATTTTTTCGTATAAAAGTCCAATATTAATGCAAGTTTGAAAATTCATCACTTACTTTCTTGCTATTTAACATTATAATTAATAATTTAGAGCTGAATAATATACTGATAATTAGAGATGGCATACTCTCGAACACATCATCGAGAGTTACAGAGCCAATTAGTAAATAAAGTACCTATATTGGAATTAGTAAAGTGAAACGTAATGAAGAAATTAGTCAACTTTTGTATATATTATAATCATATTACATATACATATACATATTTATAATCAAAAAGATATAATGTAAGATGTTTTAGTGTATAAATTCAATAAATATGGTATTAAAGATTGAAATTAATATGCAAATATCAATATTTCAAGTATATAATGCTCAAATTATCTTTCTTTCTTAGTGTGCCTTCCAACAAGCAACACAATACGACACAGTGACACATCTCATCCTTGTTTAATATGAGTGAACAACAAGGATATAGCGATACATCTGTGTGTCGTTGATTTTTTTTGGGTGGAGAAATATAATTAGTTAAACTTCGCTGATTAGTGCCAAGTATGCTATTAGATAATCAGTGACTATTCACTGAAAAAAATAAAAATTCCTACATTTTTTTTTTTATAATGGTTATTCTTAAAGAAACATTTTTTTTGTAATCTCCCACAGAGTAAGAAAATAAATAATTATATTCCTTGAATAAGTTTTTGTATGACAAAAGATTTAAAAAGTGAATTTCCTTGCATTTCTATAACATAAGGCTTATATAACCCGGACAATTTCACGAAGAGTCATTTTCCTACATTTCTTTTAGAAATCTCTAGTCATTTGTTGTTTTATATTTTCATTAAAAAATCTATGTGAAGTTATTGTAAGGAAATCAAATACAATACGTAACTATGTTCGTTTCGTTAATCTACATCTTCAGGAAGTTACAGTGTATCAATTTTAAAAAACGTGGAACTTATGATCTGGATTTACCTTATAATAGAAAAATATTACATACATATATTTACTTATTTTAATTTCACACATTCACGGATTTACAATTACTTTTGATTAATTACATGAAAACTGATTTTGTCTGTCCTTTTTCTTTTTTTTCTATCTTCTGATTATATTAAAGTTATTCATGTATACTTCAAAAATTTATAATGTGTGTAAATTTAATTAATCAAATTAAAAAAATGATAAAAAAATATAATAAACTCAATATTTTAAATAAACAATATTAAAAGGTTTGTGAAATCGAGGATTAATGAATCATTCTGGTTCTTATGTGCTTATAATTGAAAACTTTAATAATAAAATCAGATATAATAGTATATAACAAACGTTTCGATCTATTATTAAATCATTTTCAATGTTAACAAAGTCATAATAAAATTTTAAAATTATCAATATGTGTTAAACGTCATTACATAAAAACGGTCTTTTTAACGAATTATTTCGTAAATAAATTCCTAATCGATGATACAATATTTCTCTATTCATGATGCAATTTTTCTTAGTAATATTAAAATGATGTGATAAGGTTAATGTGAGTCACTGCAGTAATGAGAGCAACAATGGCCGAAATATTCGTTCATAATTATGTATTTGGAGAAAAGGACAGTGAATGTGTATATATATATATATATATATAAATATATATATATATATATATATATGTAGGAAATGCACTTATATTAAAAATATAACGCAACTTTTGTTCTCTCTCTCTTTCTCTCTCTCTCTCTAAATTACTGTAGTGAGAGCTCTCATTAGCCCTATTACATCGTTTTAATATTATTTATTTAATTAGTAGGATTCGTTGAATATAAATATATTTCTGATCGTTCAAAGAAAAAAATATATAATCAATAACTTTGCAGCAAATAAATGAATCCTTTTCCTGCGATTTTTTTAATGTATATACCTGAGGTATCGCAATACTGAAGGAGAACACAAAGAACGGCACGAAGCGAATACATCTGTCGCGGAAATTATGATATGGCCATAATCCAGAGATGGTCAGGTATAACTTGAGAAGAGCGTAACGTCGATTGCGTTCAATGTCCTTAGTGTCGAACATTTTTCAGAATAAGAAGATTGCAGTCTATATCAACTGTTCTATATGTTCAATAAACTACAGAAAATTACTTATTGATTGTTTTTATTTCCTACTCGACGACAGTATTGCATTGAGGTTATTTCTCTTTGACATTTTCTTTTACTTTCATATTCCGTATTACTAAATGTTTTATGTGAACTCGATTTGAATTCAACTTCTGAACACTTTTATTTTATCTTCGCAAGAAACGACTGAATCGCAAAGAAACGACTGAACTCTGAATTATTTTGAATAATTGAAAAAATAAATAGAAGATAATGAATAATATAGAAAGGTGAAATGTTATTTCATGAGAGACATGATGAAACGCACTAATAATCTAGCTTCTACAAACTTTGAAATTGCTGAAATGTTAGATTGAAGTAAAATTGACAAAATATAGTAATGTTAATAAATGTGGTTTCAAGAGTTTGCACATATACGTGATTTTCGAATTGTTTCATTATCTCTCTATTTTAAATATATAATAAAGACAAATATGTTTATTATTAATATATGTTGGTAAAAAATTCAAAAATATTAAAAAAGTTATGAATTGCGTATATCACATGTCCAAAAAAATTACAATAATTTCCTAAAACAAATTATATTCTTATATTGATTCGTAAGGAAGGATGCTATCTAATAATAATCTAATAAAAATTAAGCTAATCAGAAGTTTAAAGGAAAGTGAGCAATAGAAAAAAAATTTTTATGAATAATTTCTTTATAAATTAAAAGAATTAAAGAATTAAAAAAAATAATATATATATTTTATATTGTCATTGCGCACATATACATTTTATTTAGATTAAAAAACTGTGTTACAACTTAATATTACTGAACTATCATTAAAAGTTAAGAGTTACAGAATCGGGGTACTGAAGAAGAATCTGAAAGACAGAAAATTTATATCGGACGCAGCAGTGCAAGAAGCTGTTTACGAGTGGGTTCAATCTCAGGAAAGGTTCAGTCCAAGAAATTTTATTTAAGGAACAGGGCAGTTATATAGTTTTATAATGGAAGAAGTGCATTGCCAATCATGATAATTATTATTATATAGTTGATTTCAATGTCTGAATTTTTCATCCGCTACATTTCAATTAATTGCCCTAATATATTAAAATTTTTTATTGTAATAAAAGATATAAATCCGTATAACAAATCAAACTAACAAAGACTCCTTATAAATCAAAAGAAATTGAAAAGAATAAGGGCACTAGGAGTCAGGTGCGCAGAAGAGAGTCGCGCAAATAATACACCTACAAAGCGTAAAACTTCTTTATTCTACCAAACGCGCTTACATATTTCGGCTTACTTTTGAGCCTTCCTCGAAGACAACACAAACTAACATATATAAACTGTGAATAAAAATTATCCTGTCATGGTGAGCACCTCTACATCGAGAATTTAAGTGTCAGAATTAAACTCAAAAAGAGTGAAAGAAAAAAAATGAATGAAAATAAGAAAATATTGGAAATATAGAGACTATGGAAAACTTATTTATCAAAAAACTTTAAAATTATAATTAATTATCCCAAAAATAAAGACGCTCACCGTGATCACAAAGCACCATATCATAAACATTACTATGAATAATTCCAAAACTGAGTCTTAATATGTTGACCAGTCAGTATCAGACACAGTGAGTCACTTTTAGCTAGTATTATTCGAGATAACAAAAAAATGGAAAAATGAAATACAATATCAATGCCAAGAAAATGAAAGTTAGAAAGTAATCAAAAATCAATGCCAGAAAGACCCATTATTGTGTACGAACGACACTGAAAAGATATAAGATTTGTTACCATCTAATATTTTATCACATATTTTTGATATTTTTAAATTAACTCAAATTTATCACTTGCTGAAACTGTGGTCATGGCAAATTATATGTAAATACCTACATGAATTTTATAAAAACTTTATAAATTGCAGAAAAATACGTTGAAATCGTCATTTAAAGGAACGTAGCATCGTGAAATAAGACATCATTGTTTTTAGAACCTTTGAGAAGAGTGAAATCAAAATTTTTTTTTAGGGATAGAAATTAAGAAATTGTGAAAATAAGAATAGTGAATATATTGATGCAATTGGCTTACCCTGCCAAAGTTTTCAATAGTCAAAGGCACGATCTTACCAGCAGTTATTTTGCATGGTAACAAACTCCTATTCATGATTAAAAAAAGAAGTTTTCGACATCTTCCCGAAGTGTAATACCAATTTGATCTGCAACTACAGTTTGGAATAAGATTACTTGAGCGTAATTCTAAGTGAAAAAAAAATGTATTGCTAATATATATTTTTTCTAAAATAAATTCAAAAAAATTATAGAAAGATTATGAATTACACGTCCAGAAAAAAATAATTTATTAAAAGAAATTATGTTCTTACATTGATTCATAAGGAAGGATACTATAATCTAATAGAAATTGAGCTGGCCAGAATTGTAGGAAGAGATGAATGAGTTGCGCGATATAAATAGCAAAGGGTTCTACGATATCCTTTGCATCGTTTAAGTTTAAGATTACCTGAAATATACGTATTTAATAGATTCCAGAAATTCTAAAAATTTTCGCTAAATATGAATTATTTTTGCTAAAAATCGATTTTTTTGCTTGCATAATTTTCTTTGAAGAAAATTTTATTATGAAATAACAGAAATTTACATACTTGTATGCCGATCATACTACCTCCAATCATGTTCAGGCAAACGCTGACTAGGAATATATTTGTGAACGTAGACTCAATCAGTTCCGCGAATCTGTGAAATCGCGAAAAACTAAACGCGATTAAACAATATCGAAATTAAAAATGTGCAATATATTTCATTATGAAGCTATTAACACGCACTGTATCACATGCAGATGCTTGCGCAGACAGCTCAAAGTTCTGTTGTAATTGTCGTCTTTTACCTTGTCGGGTTTCAGATCGAAATTGTCCTTGCTGTCTTTGCCAATGTGTTCCAGCATGTGTCTGGAAAGCCGCTCAAAAGATAATACTCCTGGCGAGATCGAAACCAGCCACTTTTTTATCCGGGCTGGGTTCGAAGCGGATTCGAAGATGAATGACGAAGTATTAGAATGTAGATTGAATGGACGCGATATCGCTTATGTTCACCTTTCTTATCATATTTCAATTTGTAATTATCAATCGCGAGTATGATACTCTTACCCAACAATCGCGAACATCCCGCACGCGTGCCGAATCAGAGCGATGTAGCAAGAATCAACTGCGATCGTGATGCTGATATGGGAGAATACGGCTAAATAACAGTGTACCGCCATCGGATACAAATATTGATTTAACATTTCTCCATATTCCACGCGAAGAGGTAGTTTCGCTTCCGCCACTAGAGAAGATATCGTCGCATCCGAAGTATCCTCCAGCAGAATCGTTACGATCGACTTTGAGATGAGAAGAATTCCTACAAACTGCATGAAGACTGAAAACACGAGATACGCATTAGATCGCTTTGGCTTGGTTTTCAAAAAAAGAACGTGATATCTTCTAAAGCAGTTTCCATGACATACTTCCATATGTTAGCGTGATATATCGTCCGTATGCAGTGTGACGTTGTAGAATGTTTCTTTCTATATCCGTATTCAACGATAACCAATCGTCCTCCATTGTTTTTAGACAGGTCTTCAACTATAAATACAAGGTGCGTCCGCATTTTTCGCGATGTTGTTATTGCAGTACCGAAATAAAAAATTTGCATCTATATAAAAAAAAGAAGAAAACTACACGTGTTACACACAGAATATCCAGACTTTTATAACTAGACTGCTCACTCAATGTAAAAAGAGATAAATCGGGAGATATACTCAGATAAACCTCAGAGAGAATTGAGGGAGGGGATTCACCCGGAAGCCGCCATTTGTAGTGCACTGTTGAAATGAGTAGGAGCGTGATGGAACATACGGTGTTGTACACACTAATATTGTACCGCACTAGTATTGTGTATATGACATATACATATGCACATTTGCGGAAGTGCACTATAAATGGCGGATCCAATCAGAGAAGGGAAACACTCTCCGCTACACTCTCGCTTGATTCTTTCTGATAAACCTAATTCCGAGTTGTTTTTGTTTCAGTTCATATATGCATATGCATGCGTTCTATCTGTGAGTATTGCGTGAATTTATATGAAAACACTAGCATTATCATCCGTGTGATTTATATGTGAGAGTGAGTGAACACAAATGTGGCGCTGTTCAGCGCTGTCTTCAAACATGGAGACGAAGTCGGTAATCTATTTATAGAAGGTTCAACCCTTAAATTTTCCAAGAATTTTCGATCAAAATTTCTATCTTATTAATCACATCATTGAATATGCGATAGTCACATACTTTCTTATTATTCATTATCAACCACCCTAATTTAAAGCTGAATATTATGGTGATCCACATCGATGGTGTGCAAGAGAATACATCGTCGAGATCCACCGCGGCGATTAGAAGATACAATAACTATAGAATGCATTACATTTTTATATGTATTAGTATATAATATATATAAGACATATATTATCATCTAATTGATATATAATATAATATAAAATATACATTAATATTTCCAGATGTATGTTGGAGGATAAAAAGAAAAGACAAGCGATACAATTAGTGACCACCTACTTGTGGTATAAGAATGGTGATGGAAAACGTAAACATCGGCACAAAAAGAAAACACCTGTCGCGAAACCTGTGATAAGGCCATATTCCTACTAAACTCATGTACGCTCTAGGAACTGTATAAAAGCGGCTTTGCCAAATGTTCTTTCGTTCATCCATTTTCAGAAACACTAAGACTACGAATTATCGACGATTTCTTGTGAATACACACGTCACAGTCGTCACTCGGTAAGTTGCGAGAATAGTTATTATCAATTCCTTATGTCGCAGCATTGCATGACCGTAATTATGACATTATGCAATTATTTCCCACGACATACAATTATATCACCCTTCAATGTAAGTTCCTACTACATCTTTCGATCGCAGTTTTGCGAAGAGTGATAACTCGATACAATGGAATCAATAGTGTTCTCGCCGTGCATCGAATAAAGCTGATAATAAATTGAATTATTAATCCATAAGTAGAGGAGAAGGCCATAATATTATTTAATATTATGATTAATGTAGATATTATGACCTCTCTTATTTTCGCTATTATATATAGCAAATCCTAATGATTATGGAATTATTTGTTCGCATTTCGCCGTTACACCATGACATTTCGCCATGACATTAATATATCAATATTGGATAGTCAGCACTTATTATAACGCATTTTTATTTTCAAGTATTTCGAAATATTTCTAAGGTACATTTTAGCATTTAATTACACCTATTTTCTCATTTTTCTTAAACTTGAGCGTATTATCACATGAATATATGTATTTTTGAGTATGTTGTTTGCTGTTTTATTCGACTGTATATATTTTGAGTTATGCAAATTTAAATAATAGCATGTCATTTTGCTAATGTGGCTGTCTATGTGTATTGATTACGGTCTTACAATGCAATTCCATTGAATTTTTCAAAAATTTTTTTAAATGCAATTTTAATGCAATTTTCTCGGGATTCACTCTAAATGCATTATTGGAGCAGTGCAATAATATATTTGTCGTTACAATGCAATATTTGAATTTAAAAAAATTTTTTTTAAATGCAATTTTAAATGCAATTTTTCTCAAATCTCTCTCAAATTTCTCGGTCTCTTTTTTGAGATTTTCATATCAAAATAATTATTTGATAATCGATTGTAGCTCTACTGTTAATTTATAGTTTATATTACGTATACTATTTTTAGTAATGAGATTTTTAGTACCGAGCAGCTTATATGCAGAAGTTATGTGTATGTATATACACATGTATGTGATAAGAAAAAAGATTTTTGAGATTTGTTAGCATAAAATTTTATATTTTTGATATCTTTAACAATTAAAATAACTCAGATTAATTGTCACGTAAATGTATCACGATGATCCACGTGCTGATATGGCTTGTAGAGTTTTTTTAACAAGCTAGCCTGCACACACATGTTGAAATTGTTAATGGAAAGAGCGCAGCATCGTAAAATAGGACATTGATGTTTTCAGAACCTTTAGAGAAACATTAATTATATCTTAAGACTAAAGATGCAAGAGAAACTATCAAATAATAAAGTTATATTTACCACGCCGAAACTTTCAATGGATAGAGTCACCACTTTGCCAGCAGTTATTCTGCATGGTGATATGGTTCTACTCATGATTAGCAGTAAAAGTTTTTTGCATCTTTCCGAGGTGTAATACCAATTTGCTCTGCAACTATAATTCAAATCATGATTAATAAATAGCAGTAAAAACTGAAAAGTTTATGTTCTTTGCAGCTTTTCGATTTTAGGAATATTGATGTTTCAAAAAGATAACGACAGCTCTTGAATGAACCCAAAAGGATTTGATTTCTTACATCGATTCGTATGGAACGACGCTGTAATCTAATAAAAATTGAGCCTGCCAAAATTGAAAGAAAAGATGGGTGAGTTGAGCAATGTAAATAGCGAGAGGTGCTACTATGTCTTTCGCGTCATTTAGATTCATCAGCACCTGAAACATACATTTCCTTTCGTACTATTTCCGTATTATTATATGAAGAGTTTTCAATGATTTGAGAGAAAAAACATTCATATCAGAAGACATAAATATTATTATTAATACTTAGATAAAAAAATTCTCTTTTTTGCAATAATTCTCATTGTGAAATATAACATAAAAAAATCGGAACGTACTTGAATACCGCATATACTGCCACCGATCATATTCAAACTAACGCTGACCAAGAATATATTGGCAAACGTGGAATCGATCAGTTCTGCGAATCTAAGCGAAATTTGAATGCATTACAAACAATAGAACGTAAAGTACACATTATTAAAATTAATAAAAATAACACGTACTTTATTACATGCAGATGCTTGCGTAAGCAACTGAGAGCTTTATTGTAATCATTGTCATTCATTTTGTGGGGCTTCAGATTAAAATTTTCATTAATATCCTCGCCAATATGTTCCAGCATGTGTCTGGAAGCTACTAAAATGATAATGTTCTTGGCAAATTAAATTTTCAGATCATCATCATCGACTTTATTTAAATTGAAATTAAGAAGACACAAACAATGTAGGAGAGACCGGGACCGAAACAAGCAATGTAAAAGAGATCGGGGCCGATTGTTAAAGTTATTCGTAAAAGTTTAAACTTAATCAGCGACAAGATATTCTCTTATTTTTACTGTACTGATTGCTGTTGCGCTAAAAGCATCGTGTATATTGCAACGACTTTTAAGAAAATGAAGTTGGTGAGTAAATTTTTGTTATCTCCTTCCATGGCGGAAGGAAATAAATTAGACAAAGTTGTATTCTCGAAGATGCGCAATAGTAAAATAGCGTGCATGCATTTTGTATCTAAATGCAGTTGATATGAATAAAAAAATTTTAGAAAAATGAAAATCGCGCTAGCATTTAGAGATGATCTCCTTTGTTTTATCAATTCTTAGCATTACCAATCGCAATTTTTTTGTAATCATAAAAATGACATATCCTATATCTTTTTATGTTAATTAATCATTATTGTAATAAAGAATTTTGAATATAATCTCTCTTAGAAAAATTATGAATACAAACTGTTTTACTAAAAATGGTAAAAAAAAGCTGTTTTTGACTCATATTATTCGATTTATTTAAAAAATCTGACGTGATAGACATCTTTCGCTGGTGGATTTGAATTTAGTGATTTCGAATTTACTAAAAAATATTTGTCATGATCGCCATAGGAAAAAAAGATCAAATTTTGTCGGACAGTGTTATTATTTTACTTACATTAATACTATAATTATTATTATTTTCACATATGAACCGATATTAAAAAAAATTTGCGTTTTTTCATATGTTTTATCCATATGTATGTAAAATATGTCACTACCAATCCTATGTTATTAACAACGTATGACAATTACGAGACTAATTGTCAAATTTTTGCAGCTTTATTTAAAATTAAATAACTATTTATATGATGTATTCAAAAATAATCTTTTTTAAAGATACCCAAGAGATGTAAATATATAAGCATTATAACGTACATAATGTTTAAAAATTTTATGTTTAATTTTTCCTAAAAATAATTCAAAAATTGTGACAACCGATCTTGATTTTTTTCTATATCGAAGTGTTTTTTGTAATATCGGTCATGACGTTTGTTTCCTATTATCAGTTTTTAAAATATTGTTCCTGATACTCTTACCCGACAACCGAGAACATCCCGCAGGCATGTTGAATCAAAGCGAAGTAGAAGGTATCAGCAGCAACCGTGGCGGTCACATGAGAGTATACGGTTAGATAACAATGAATCACTATCGGATAGAAGTACTGATCTATTCTGTAGCCGTATTCCACGCGGAAAGGTAGTTTCGTTGCGGCCAATCTAGTCGAGTTTGATGTATCCTCTATCATTATTAACACGATTGACTTGAACATGTAGAGTAATCCCGTCGAAATCATAAAGACTGGAAACATGTGAATAATACAAAGACTAGCAAATTTTCAGTTTTTTAATATACTCTTCTTCCAAGAGATTTTATCAAAACGAAACTTAGTCTATCTTCTTTTTGATGTACCTGCATAAAATATCGTCAGATATTGACCATGTATAGCATGTCGTTGCAGAATAGCCTTTTCACTATCCGTTTTTAATGACAACCAATCGTCCTCTATCGTTTTAAGACAGGCCTCTATCTACAAACATATACTCGTTTTTTTTACGATAACAATGATATTTGTTATTGGCCAGTAAGAATTAGACTACGTGACGTTAATCGCATTAATAAAATTTGCATATATAATCACATTATATTTACTTTCTTACTGTTTGCCATCAAGCTCGCTAATTTAAAACTGAATATTATTGTGATTAATATCGTTGGCATACATTCGAATAAATCATCGAGATCCGTCAAGGCGATGTGAACATACAATAGCTATATTATAAAATGTTGATATAGATGTTGTAAAATATTGATGAGATAATGATTAATTCTTTCTAAAAGAAAATCTGAGCCTCAAGATATTTTTGTGTGAACCAAGCTGGTTAATAAATTAATAATTGAGTCGAACGCTATAAAGAGCGTTGCAAATTTTATATAAAAGAACATATATCGATAGATTTTATATAAAAAATTTGATACAAAGAAAATACAAAATTTCTTGAGATTCATGTCATTATTCTTTTCTTAAGTAAAGTAAATTATGTACCATGGGTATAAGAATGATCGAACAGATCATAAACATTGGTACAAAATGCAGATATCTATTGCGAATTGGATGATACGGCCATAATCCTGCTAACGTCATGTATAATCTAGGAATTGCATAATACCGACTTTGCAAAATGTCCTTTCGCTCGATCATTCTTAGAAATACGAACTACATCAATGATACTTGCTTTATTTTGCGTACGTTCGACACCAAGCAAAGCGCTGGGACATTAACAATTCCTTGTGTTGCAGAATAAACGTCCGTCATTATACCATCAATTATTTGCACGCAACCCTTTTCATCGTAGCTTTTCGTTACAATTGTCGATCGAGTCATTTACGCGGGAATAACGTAAATGAGTCGTAATTTTGTCGCCTGAGCAATTTGCGAATTCAATGTGTTCCATGTAAGTATACGTCAGTGTTAGCTACGTGTTCGCGAAATGAAGCTATTATTCTAAACAATAAATGAATATCAAATAAAAAATAGCAAGTATGTGCGAAAATGTAAAGTGTTATTAACTCTTTATATTTTATCGCGAACCAAATGGAAAATCAACATGGATCATATGTGGGTATATCTCATACCTCATGCTATACTTCATCATAAATATACTATAATTTAGTATGATTGGTAACAACGTACTTTCCAGTTGCACGAAATCGGCAATATGTGCGCGGTACTTTTTAAGAAATTATAGAAATTTATCTTGCTGGTATATCACATCGTAATCCCCATCTGGTTCACGGAGGGTTAATATAGAAAAATGGGACATAATTCAATTGGATTAAAAATTTTTTTTTTCAGTAAAATTATAATGCTCATAAAGTGTAATTTACTCGAAGATAGAAAAACATACTTACATTTTTCCCTGTACAGTCCAAAACTCCCACGGTCTATAATAAAATTTGAAGGCACGAATTGACGTGTCGACAAATTTGGTCGACAGAATGCCAGTGGAAATAAAATAGAATCTGCTAACAAAATATGATGACAAAAGGATTGTAGAAACCGAGTAAAACTCTGCTTTCATAACCAGTTAAATATGTTCCATTTCAATGATTACGAAATGACAATTTAAATTTGGTTTCTGCTGCAATCTGTTATCAGATTATATCAACAGAATCTATTGGTAGATTACGAGTTTAATGGAAATATAATTTCAATCTTCTGCAATATTATGCTCTAATTTGCTGGTAAATGTTAGTACATTCCTAAGATATTATTTGTATGAATATGCAAAAGAATCAAGAGAGAGATTCAAAAGGATACATTATACTTATCTTAATGAGAAGTCATACATTGAACAAGATGATGACACTATGATGAAAACTTATAGTGTCATTAAAGAACTTTTGTACAATACGAAAATTCACGATATAAATTCGTAGGTTAATATTACATTTAAATATTATATTTTTATTTCAATAGTGTCTCTTTTTTTCAGATTGTGCAGATGGGATTTCCCAATGGAATGAATTTTATGGCTTTGACGTTCTATGGCTATGACTTGACTTTCTGATAATCCTTTGCATTAAAATAATGTTCTTATGCATCTTTATAGTACAAATAAAAATATTAATTAATTAAATAAATTTCATTATTTAATGCTAGTGTATTTATACAAATGTACTAATATGTAATACATTTGTCGAGTATATTTATTATCACAATTTCCTGTATAATTCTTATGTAAATGTTAATGAAAAAAGAATAATTAAGACACTTAAGATTAAAAAAATAAATTAAATAATGGATAAAAGAAGGTAATTAAAAATTCCAACCAATTAATATAAACGTATAAATACGAAGTAATTAAATTATCGCAATTGTCACAAATTATTTCACAAATAAATTATATAAGCAGTCCATTTTTTAAATTCCTGTAATTTTTTAAATCTCATTAAAAAAAAGATATGATAAGAGATATAGCTTGATTAGGTAAGACACAATTAATCTGAGAAGTATAATTTGAGAATAACTTGGTTTTTTGTCAAAGTCTTGAATTGAACTATCGCAAAGAAAAGCACTAATCGTCCGTTCGCGCAAATCGATATCGCCTCGAGCTCCCGCTGCTCGAACGACAATTCTAAATGAACGACTACCTGAACGAATAACTGACAATGTATCATTACGAACATTGAACGTGTAAAACTTGATTACATCCCGTATGCATCCCGTATATGTCTTCTTCAGTTTATTCACCGATCTCTTATTATGGTGGCAAGTTTACCATGCAGTCGATCGTATTGCGTTACTACCGCATTAACAAAATCTTCATGTCGCAGATCGGTATCTGGCCTTATCAGAGCAGGACAAAGAGGATATTGATACCCAGCACGATAGTGTTAATCTCTATCAGCGTTCTTATAGCAGAGGTAACTATGTAATTATTCCATCTTGCAACTATTTATGAAGCTACGCATGTACATTTTCGGATTCGATCCGTATTTATTTTTGTTAAAATATATAGAGCGCTTCCGATTTGCTGATTTCTTGGCTAATATCTGACTTTTAAATAGTGATAGCTATTCATCGTCACTGGAATATATTACAACGTTACAGTTATCTCAATATTATGGCTTCTTTGACACCTCTTACAGTAATACTTCATTCTCTCAGATCATATGCATGTTCGATACTTGGGGTAACGTTAATATCGCAGTCGAGTGCATGATTTCGACGATAATTATTATCGGCTGTTTTACGAAATTGTTTAATCTTATTCTTAATATTAAGAAGGTATAAATAAATCCCTTTTACAGATCGTGTTTACACGTGTGATTGCATTTCATATTGTATGACTTAATCTTCTCATAAAAACGCTTTGTATCTTTAGACGCGGCACTTGTTTTCTTTAATTGAATATCACTGGCAGGTGTTTACCAATTCCACGGACATTGAGATCATGCAGGATTACGTTACGTTTGGTAGAAAAGTGCTAATACTTTATTCAAGTAAGAAACCTTAATTTCCTGGATTTCTTCCGCTTGACCATGATTAAACATAATGAATCGATTTAATCATTTCGAAAACAGCATATATGCTGTCATTGTTATACCAGCTATATCAATTGAAAAACAATTAAGCAGTAGAGATGTCGATCATTGTTCGCAGTTTATATTTACACGTCGCTGGCACTGTTCATGATAATTCCGATGTCGCCGCAGATCATGGACATTGTAATGCCTCTCAACAACACTCGTCCGCGAAAATTATTAATCGAGGTCGAGTACCGTGTAGATCGAGAGAAATACTACTATCCCATCTTATTCCATTCTTACGTGGCGATTGTACTGATTATATCGATCATAGTATGCGTCGATACTACATACATATCATACGTGGAGCATGGCTGCAGTTTATTCGCAGCCATTGGGTAAACATAACTTTTTAATATTTTATAGTACTATAATGTAGATGCTCGGATAAAATTTCAGATATTTGTTGGACATTAACATTTGTCCAGGTATCGATTAGAGCATGTTATTTCAAAAGGACACATTGATAAAACAAGTTACTTCGCGAAAAGCAAAGAAAGAACGTATCAAGATGTAAAAATCGAAGATACTTGCTTCAAAGAGAAGGAGATTTTTTATGAATTTGTCACGTGCTTGCGAAAACATCAGCTTGCAATTAAGTTTGTATTCCTTGAATATTAGCGCGTCATTGTACTGACTAAAAATTGGGATATTAAATTATTCGGATATTATCTTAGCTATAAGAATGATTTATTGTTTATCCATTATCATATTATATCAACTTATAACTAGACTTACGGATTATTTTCATTGCTAGGTATGTTTGCATATTAGAATCTTCCTTCACGTTATCGACAGGTATCCAATTGTTGTGTAACATAGTTGGCATGAGCCTTATAGGAGTTCAAGTAAGTACATAACAGAATAGATAATTATATGTTAAGACAAAATTTGTTAATAGATAGCATTTATCTAGATAATTCCATTTATCTAGGTAATCAATAACCTCGATAGTATTGAGAATATTATTAGATACACTGCCTCGTGTTTAGCGACGTTTTTCCATCTTTTATGCATGTCCCTGCCAGGACAGAGACTGATGGACCACAGCTTAGATGTGTTCAATAGCGTGTAAAAATACTATATAACATTTCATAGATAAAATAGAGAGAAAATATCGTCGGGAAAATGTGCTGGATATTCTAATGTAATCATTACTATATTATTTAATGAACATTGGACAATGTATTACATATTAAATACAATATCACAATATCATTAACGCATAATTTCCCGTGATATATAGTACATAGTAACTCTCTCATCCTAAATTTGATCTTGTCATTTTTTGTATCTTAAAATATTGTGTATTATATTGTACAATATAATTACAAGAGAATGTAATCATAATTCCATTATTGAAAAATATATTTTAATGATTAATTAATTTAATTATTAGTAACTGATTTTATTAATATATTAGTAATTAATTAAATTCTTAATCTGAAAGAAGATGTCTTAGTTGTAGGTCGCATTGGTATACATTTTCGTTAAAAACCAAGAAAGTGCTGCGGATATTGCTTTACAGGAGTATTGTGCCATGCACATTAACTGCCGGTAAACTGTACGTGATGTCAATGGCCAATTATAGTTCGGTAAGCATCATTGTATTACAAATTATATGATTTGTAAATGATATCGTGTATATATAAAATATATGTGTTAAGTTATACATTGTATTGAAAGAATGATATTCTTATTTTAAGGTGGTGCAGACTGCTATGTCTTACTTTACGACATTCTCTTCTCTGAAATAGCGAGTTTTCTGTAATTAAATATTTTTTTGTAGTTCCATCTTAAAAATTAATAAATTCTTAAGTATTTAAAATTATATATACGCAATGCGTTTTGAAAAATATATTTTATAATACTCGTAATTGAGGCATTGATCACTGAAGAGTCAGTCAATACATTTCTGTTCGAAATAAATTCGTTGAAAATATTATGAAAAGTTTTTAACGTGCGCAACATTTAGATTTTAAAATTCGAAAGAACTGATATAAATAGTACTAGAAGCGACTAATAGATTTTTGACTTTATTTGCAGTATTGCATCTTAAATTTACACTTTTATAGAAAAAACTGAATAGCGCACAATCTCTTAGAATTAGTTTTCTTTCTTGAATTCTTCTGAAGAAGAAATTTTATTCTTTTTGTTTATAATATATTACATGTATTCTTGTTATACAGGAAAAGAACGTTTTTGCAGTAGGAATCATTTTGCGTGGAAAGTTGTAAAATATACTTTAAAGCAGAAAAATTCTGTTTTATATGGTGGAAAAGAGATATCATATACGTTATTTCTTAAACTTCTTTATTTATAATTTTTTAACAAGTGACGTCCGAATTTTAATAAGTTTCGCATATGTTAAAATATAGACAAAAATGAGAAATAAATTTGTTAATATTATAAAGTACTCTTGAAATCATTCAAATTTTATTTAAAACATTTTTTCATATCTTTGAAGGTTTAGATAATATTCATTGAGGAAGAAAAAAAATCAATTTTTTAAGAGAGTTACGCTCTCTATATACAAAAAAATATTTAAAAAAATATTATACATGTCCCTTATTTTTATCTATAAACATATTCTCGTTATAAACCAGAAATTCGATAAAATATGCATCAATACTCTAAATTTCAATTTATATTCCAGTACACTCAAATCGCCTACTGCTTATTTCACAATGAAACTATTTTTCTCTTTGCGAGGAAATAATATTTCACCTTATAACTTACTTCGTAAACAATTTATTATTTCTACGTATAAGGTGACTAAAGTTCTGTTGCAAATTATAATATAGTATGCAAGTAGTAATTTAAATGACATTGACTTAGGAAGAAAAAAACCGATTTTTTTTTCAAGATAGATTTCTACCTCAAAAAGTACTTATTAAAAAAAATACATATTTTCCATTCTTGTCTATATTTTAACATATGTAGTACGCAACATTCTCGACATCGATCGATTTAATATGTACGAGTATCTTCCACGACTTATATACATTTGACAATCCCAAATTATCGAACTGACAATCTGATATTACTGTAATCATATTGATTATTCATGTCATTTTCCCCTCCATAAAATCGTACAAAACAAGGGGAGCTGAGTCGCGATGGTACATTGCAAAATAACTCACATACGATATGAATCCGGAAATGGAAAAGTACTATGCCATCAATAAACTATTTTTGTCAGGAATCGGTGTTTGGCCGTATCAGCGAAGGGTGCTGAAAGTGTTCTTACCGTGTCTCTTATCAACGATACATTATGCTAGCTTCGTAACTCAGGTAACATATTGTATTAATTTCAAGTATATATAGTAGTGCAAATTTTTTAAGTGAATTTAATTCTTTCCTTATATTAAAAAAAATAGTTGTCACTTGTACTTTAATATTGCCTACGTCATTGTTGATTTTTAGGTGCTTCTAGTATACGATACTTGGGGTAATATGGATGTTATCGTTGAAGCTATAATTGTCATTACTTGTATTTTTGGTGCTAGTACAAAGTTGATTAATATCATTGTGAATAATCACAAAGTAAGTACTATATAAATCAATATCGATAATATGAGATCCTACCACGAGTTTGTGCATCGCGTTTGCAGATGAAATGTAAAAAAAAAATTGAAGTTCGTGTCGAGGGCAACACTAAACCACAAGGATGCCTAAAAAAAGTGATCAGAAATGTCATTAATTACGACGGTTTTGATTAAAAAATTTTGAAAAAATGACCCATTGCGTATGTACTCAACAAACACAAATACATCTCAAACTCGTAACTCATAATTTTAATTTTTTGGATCGTAACAATGATGTCAAAAGTTACGTGAATTTGCGGAGAATGTTCTCAAATTTATCGTCTCATTTTACCTATAGTAGTTACATAACAATGATATGATTTAAATACGAAACGGCGACAGGATAGACATATAACAATTATGTATTGAGATGAAATGCATATATAACATTTACGCAATGCAAAATTTGTCACTGTGATATCACAAATGGATGAAATTGTTATTTATTTGTTATTTATTGACATCGACTCAATTTTTTTTATTTGAAGAAGTTTTTTGATTATTTCTTGCTAATAGAATAAAAAAAATAATTTATTTAATTAATTTATTTAATTAATTTTGCAATTCTTTTTTTAAATGAAAGAAATATATTTTTTATATGTAATAAAAAATTTTCTAAATAAAAACTATTTTTTTATGTAATAAAAAGATTATATCTTAACAAAAATTTTTTTGCTATTATTTATTTTTGTTTTTCCAGTTTTTTTATTTATTATTTACTGTTTCAAATATAATAAAATATGCTCAAACACTGAAAAAGTGACGTATAATTTATGAAATTATGTTACATCATGGTGATGTATTTTTTTTAGGAAAGTATAATCTCATAATTTTAATAATATAATTGTTATAGACTATAGTATATGTTATAGACTACAGTGATTTTGTCAGAGATCGAGCTTTGCGTTAGGATTTCCTTAAAGGATTTCCTTACATGAACTTCGATTTTTTTTACATTTCATCTGCATACGCGATAGGTGCACAAACTCGCGGTGGGGTCTTGGACTATAATGTATATTCGCTTATCATTATCTTTTTGCATTGATCAGTTCCGACGGTTATTGCAACTTATGTGCGAACACTGGGAGTTTTTTAATAGCGAATTTGAACGTCATATTATGAGATATTACGCTAGTATCAGCCAAAAAGTGACAAAATACTTTGGAGGTACAGAAATAAATAATTTTTAAATCTTTACAGACAAATTATGATGTGTCATCGACTAAAATATTGTAATTGCAAAAATTTTATATTCAATTTTTCTAGTGTAAATATATATAAAAAGAGCTTTTTTTAAATTAAAATTAATTTTTTCAAAGTCTAAAATTTCCATATATTTTTACAAAATATTTATGAAATTATGAAATAATCATGTTGAAAAAGAAGTCGAGCGCGAGCGTGGCATGGCAGACAGGCACTGGTCTATCATGCCAGAGGTCCTGGGTTCGATCCCAGTAGGTCAATTAAAATATTTAGCTCGTGTCTCCTCTCGGAAAAGGCCGGCAACCTCTCCCGAGAGTATCCTTGCCCACCTCTCGAAAAATCCGCCGTTCGGAACCGGCATTAAAACTGTAGGTCCCATATGTTTGTGGCTGAATAATCAGGCCGAATAATCAGCGTGTGCACTACAAGCATATGAGAGAGGTGTAATACAGGTCAGAGGCCTAACGTAAGAAGAAGAAGAAAAAGAAGTCTTTTAACATTTGATGCAATTAATAAGTCATATGTTCCTTTTGCAGTATATTTTATCGTCTTTACAATATTTTATTTGCTAATTCCATTGATACCAAGAATCTTGGACGTCGTAAAACCGCTGAACGAGTCGCGGCCATTGATATACGTATATTCGGTTGAATACAGAGTAGACAAAGAAAAATATTATTATCCAATATTACTTCATTGTTATGCTACGAGTTTAATTACCATAATAATTCTGTTCACCATCGATACTACGTATATAATGTGTGTATTGCATGTTTGCAGTTTATTTATAGCTATCAGGTGAATAAAATTAAAATAAGATTCTATAGTTATATTTTTTACAAACAAATGTTTCAAACATTTTGTTTATTTTTGAATGAATAAACTAAAAATAAAAATCACATCAAATGGTCAAAATTACTAATTGCTAATTAACAATATTTCATTTCAAAGCCATCGTCTTGAAAACATTACTGTTAAAGCAGAAACTAAATCAGACAACAACAAAAAATATGTAGGAAGGCATTGTCATCTATTGATGGAGAAACACGGTTCTACTGGCAATGATTATCGTGAATTGATAATGTGCTTGAAAAGACATCAACTTGCATTAGAGTTTGTACTACATGCACATTTCTGTTGTCTATAACAACAATCTACTCGATAACAATAACAGTCTACTCGATAACAATATTGTCACTAATCACTCGATCATTTATATTAAATTATTTTATCCGATCTTTCTCTTTCTTTCTCTCTCTTTTTTTTTAGACATGTCCAAATACTGAATTCTACATTTACTCAAGCAATGTTCATTCTTCTATCTCTGAATATGCTGAATATGAGTGTGATCGGAATACAGGTGTGTATTTTAAAAAGTACGTATATCTCTATTGAAAAATACATTGTATAACACGATACTTAAATTTTGCAGCTTATCAAAAACCTGGAACACATCAACGAGATAATAAGATCCATTTTTTTTATTTGCGCTGTGTTTATACACCTCGTATGTATGTGTATTCCTGGACAATTATTGATAGATCGAAGCACAGAAGTTTTCGATAAAGCGTAAGTATTCGAATTTGTATAAAGTTTTTTTATCTTTGAATGCAAACAAGAGAAATATTTAAGATCTTACGATATTTAATAATAAATTATTATATATTATTTAATTATAATTTTTTAAATAGTTTTTCAATTTTTCACAATAATTTTTAAAGAGATATCATAAGTCTATTTATCGATAGTATCCAATTTTATACGATTAAAATAATTTTTTATTAATTGATAAGGTTTAACTTAAATTATAATAATCAATTAATGCTAAAATTAATGCCAATTAATATCCATATAAAAGAATCAATCAATTTCATCATGCATTTTATGTTAGATACGGTTCATCATGGTATACATTTTCCATAAAAACTAGAAGATTATTAAGAATACTTCTTTATAGAAGTCTCTCTCCATGTACACTCACGGCTGGAAAGATGTTTATTCTGTCTATGACTATGTGCAGTTCGGTAATTACGTCTAATTTACATATTTAGAAAAAATATTTTTTATAATTCTATATAACATTGTAATAGATTGATATTCAATTTTAAGATGATGCAAACTGCTATGTCATATTTCACGACCTTTTTATCCATGAGATAGGGATGCTATTACAAATTATATTATATGTATCTTTACAAAAATTATTATATTAAAAAAAATCATCAATAGTCATTGTGTTTTACAAAGGAAGGTAATTATAATCATTATAATAAAGCGACGTATCTTATATCAGAAATAATATAAATATATGTGTACGTATCTCCGATATTTCGCGAAAAAAAGAGATAAAGGATATTTTTTACTAACAAAAATTATAAAAATTTATGTAATTAAATGTATAGATATATTTATTATTCACGTATGCGCATATTCGGTATTTTTTTGCTTTATAGAATAAGACTCACAACTTTAATGTTTCATATAATTCCTTTTTAATGTTTCACATAATTTTTCCTCATGCAACCAAAGATCTGTAACGACACAAAGGCAGTGTCCCCTTCATCGATCGATTAAATAACCACCTTTCACTGTGAAATGTTTCGCAACTTCCCGGAATTATCATAAAATACGTATATTTTTACTATTTCCCACTTGGTCTATTTTTTTTAGAATTAAATATTATATTTAACAAGAGTATTATGCAAATGTTTTTATTTGAACATATACAATACATCAATATACTGCTTCAGAAATAAATTTGTTTGTCAATCCAAAAAAGTTATAAAACCATGGAGAGGCATATGAAATACTTTGAGAAAAAAAATGAGTTACTTTTGTTTCCTGTTTGATAAACAATGGACTTTCACAAAACTATTAAAATCTTGTTTTAGAGAATGTATTCAGTGGTATAAACTGTGACAGTAACATCAATTGAGAAACACAATGTTTATAAAACTCAAATTGTTTATCATTGTTGTTACAAAAGATATTTGTATTTTCACAATAAATTTAAATATATTATCTTTTATCGAAATTTGTATGACGTTTATATATAGTGACAATGTTCTATTTTATGAAGAGACAAAAGACATTCGACACGTTAATCGATACGGTATTAGTCATGCACTTCGTGGCACCGAGAATATGAAATAATAATACGAGATGTCTTCAAAGCTTTAAAACATACAGCGACAATATTACAAATTCCATTTATTCGTACATTTCATTTTTTCTTCTTAAGCTGTAATACTGTATTGATATTGCCACCATACTGCGTACCTTTAGTACATTTCCCATAACGAGGTTTTACGGAATACTAAAGAAGGTGTTGAGAAAAAAAGAAGAGAGAATGAGAGAGAGAGAGAGAGAAAGAGAGACGGATACTGCTATAGCGAGAAGAACATTTACGGATTCTTATTCAGTATAGCAAAACCATGGATTTCTTTGACACGCGTTATTTTAGGATTAACAAGTTCTTCCTGTCTTTCATCGGTCTTTGGCCATATCAAACATCCTTCATAAAGCTCCTAACTCAGTCGTTCGCCATATTTGGCGTTACAATAATGTGCGCGCCACAGGTAGTTCACTGGATGATACATTAATAATATTACTCTCTAAGATCTTTGGAGTAGAATATACTTCTGAAGAGTGAAACTTTACTCTTCAAAATTTACAGTTGAGCCGCTCTTTTTCAACAAAATGACTCAATTGTCATTCTTTGTCACTCTTTAGAATTAGATCCCATTCCAAAAATTTTAGAGAATAGTTGACGAATTTATATAAAGAAAATATATAAATTAAGTTATATATAAAAAAAAAGTTTGACATATATTAAAATTCAAATAATAACTATATTCTTTATATATCACAGAAACAATTGTTTAAATGCGAGTTTACATTTTACCCGAGTATTATGTGAAATATAATCAATGTACCATATATTCATTATTAGATATATTCATTATTTATTATTAGATTGCATATATGTTCAAGCATGTGGATGATTTGGATAATATGTTCGAGCTCATGCCAATTCTAGCTGGCACAGTGATATGTATTGCAAAAATCATCAGTCTGACTTGCAATTCCGAAATGGTAAGCATGATCATCGCATCGGATCGGCTTGTTTTGAACGAGCGTCGCTTCAGTTTAAGGGGCTTCTGCAACATATGCGAGATGACTGGAACAATCTATTGACCAGTGAGGAAACGCAAATTTTAACGCATTATGCTGAAAAAAGTCGAACGCTCATGTTGGCGTATTCAAGTATGAAATTTCGTACTGGCAAATATCGGATTTATTTGAATTAAGTATTAACAATAGAAGGTTCGATATCTTTGATAAATTAAAAAAATATATAAATACTTTAAACACGCATCTTAATTAAAGTAAAGATGAGAAATGAAAAAGAAATTACATATAAATAATCGCTAGATTCAATAAATTTGTAATTATAAATAAGTATTTGTTTTATTAAATTAAAATATTTATTTGCTTTACGCAATATATTAAAATATTTATTTGCTTTATCTTAATTTTTGTTAAGAAAAAAATAAAAGGAGTATTTTATTTCTTTTTCTTTATGCAGTTAGTGTAATTGGATTTGTATTCTGCTACGCTTTGTTACCTCTTACCGGACCTGTATTTGATATCATCTTACCCCTGAATGAAACAAGACCGAGAAAATTGCCACATCTCGCAGATTTTGTCATTCTCGATCAAGAGAAATATTATTACACACTTTTGCTGATCTTGTATGTTGGTTACGTTGTATGTGTCTCGATCGCGGTAGCTGCTGACATTTTGTACATTTTCCTAGTGGAGCATATTTGCGGAATGTACGGCGTATTGTGGTGAGAATTGCTTAAAATTAAATCTGATACATGTATAAAAATGGATAATTATGTTTATTGCAGTCATCGCCTGAGAAATTTAGCAGCACACGATGATTTACGATGGATAGACGGTGATTACATTCACGAGGAAATCCGCCGATATATTCAACATTGCATTCAACTACATGAAAGAATAAGATTGTTGGTGTGACAATTATTTTAGGAATAGCACAGGGTAGAGAGAGACTATTCCGTTAGTTTCAACTTTAAAGTAATATGAAAATTTACAATTTATATCTCAAATAATATCTCTTTGCAGTGATGTACTTATAATTACATTATACAATTATGATTGTTCCTTGTGCGAGTATAAGCACAATTTTGAAGTATTCAACACGTTGCTCAGAAACATAAACGAGAAATGGACGAAAAACCCCTCTTTATCCTATGTATATTCATATATTATATACGGTGTTCTAAAAGTAACGATAAATCTTTCACATAGAAGTAGAATAGACTAAATTGAGAAGAAAAATTCTCTACCATTTTGCAATTTTTGCAATAGTTAACAAGATATTAATTGCTAAAATATTAATTGCCAAAAATCGGTTTTTAATCATTTTTTACTCAAATATTATCAATTTTACAAAACTGCAAGAGACAAAAATTGTTTATTTTTTTCTCATAGAGCTCTAAGAATTTTTTCAGAATTTTTTAATACCGTATTTTCTCATGTTGTTAAAAATAAGATAATGCAGTACTAAAAAGTTGATAAAAAATTCTAAAAAAATTCTTAGAACTCTATAAGAAGAATATAAACAACGTTTGTCTTTTGCAGTTTTTCTGTTGATAAAGTTGATAGTATTTGAATAAAAAATTATTGAAGATCAATTTCCGACAATTTTTAGCAATTAATATCTTGTTACTGTTGCAAAAATGGTAAAGAACTTTTCTTCTTAGTTTCTTCTTAGTCCATTCTATCCCTGTACGAAAAATTTATCGTTATTTTTAGAACACCCTATATATTTTACTTACCTAGATCTAATTCAAACATGTTTGCATCTATTACTAAAATTTCACTTAGATCTTGATGATATTTGTCGATCCAGATTCATAGAAATGATGGATTCTACAATCTCATTGTTTCTCTTTTTCGATGTTGGATTAGGATTTTTATTGCATACTTCTTCATGTATAATGGTGAATATAACTGTGGCTTCATGCATAAATGGTGGAATCTAATTCTAAAGAGTGGCAAAGAGTGATAATTGAGTCAATGTTGAAAAAAATTACTCAATTATCAATTTTAAGAGTGAGATTTTAAAATTAGATCCTGCTCCAAAGGTTTTAGAGAGATAATACTTAAATTTTGGAACTTAAGTCTAAATGACAATATAATGTAAATATATTATCTTTTTATTGTTAATTATTGTTGGGAATATTTTCAAGTCAAATGATATTTTTTGCAGATCATAGTTCGAATGGGATCGTCTGAAATTATGCGATATGTAGCTCTTATGCTAATGCAGAGTTGCCGATTATTTTTCAATAGTTGGGCCGGACAAGAAGTGACCGATCACAGCGTCGAAGTCTCGATAGCAGCGTAAGATAAAACTATTCAGAATTCACAAGAAATATTCTCGTGGTATATCTTTTTACAGTTATGATGGAATATGGTATAATGCATCTGTAAAGGTGCAAAAGTTATTGTTGTTTCTAATCGCGAGGAGTCAGAAAGCCTCTCAAATAACAATCGCAAAATTATATGTCATCAATCTGGAAGGTTTCAGTAAGGTACGAACGCGGAATGTATCACGTGTTTTAATATAGAACCGCTATATCCGTGCTCTTTACTAACAGAAAAAAATAATATGTACATAATAAATATTTTTTAAGGTAATGAAAACATCGGTTTCCTATTGCACGGTACTAATTTCATTACGCTAACCGTCAAAAAGTGCATAGATTTCTGCAAGATTTTCCACTCGCGTATATTTTCTAGTCTTTCGTATGTCAACTCAGGTGTTAATGTATGAAGGTATATCATGTCTGTAATAAACTATTCTGTATAAACTATTCAGTAAATATCGATTTGTATAAAGTAATAAATAAGTTAATAATTAAGTTATGCTTATATTAATGCTATCTATCGTAATATTAAACGAATATATTGTGTAAGTGTTGCGGAAATGCTTATGCAGTTCATTCAATTTATTTTATTCATTTGTATTGTACATTTGTTACACTGTAATATATATAGTGCCTTTATTAAACTTTAAAAAGTTTTTTTTCTATCAAGGAAGGAATATCTGTTATCATAAATTCTCTCTATTCAATTTCTTCGACATTAAAAATTATTTCATCATATACACGGATCTAGCAGAATATTTAAGCTGCAGCTATAGACCGAATGACAAAGAGTAATATCTGCCTTTTTAACGGCGGATATGAATATACGAACGCAATACGAACATTGAGTGTCAAAGCGAACATGAATGTCTTTGATACGAAATATTTCAAAATTAATAAACTCTTCCTGTCGATCATAGGGTTGTGGCCGTATCAAACGACTTTTACAAGGACTTTGAAGACAACGTTAACTACAGTTGCTGTCATAGTTATGTGCGCGCCTATGGTAGCTATTCGATACCTATATGTCATGAAGTCAAATAAATATATTGCATAATATTTTCAAATATTTACTATAAATATATACGAAATATTATACGCATATAAATACAATTAAATTGATAACATGAATAATTAAGACATAGATATAGATATAAAATGTTATTAAAAATATTTTTTTTGTTATATTGATATATTTTTAATTACTAAATAATTAATTTAATCGCGTCTTAAAATAATATTAAAATAATATTATAAAATATACATGAAGTTAATTACAATTACACTTAATATAATTTGATGCGAAATAAAATAATAATTAAAGTAAACATTAAAATATCGTGATCAAATAATTGTTCAGTTTTTGTTCATATTCAAACATCCGAACGATCTAGATCATATAATCGAACTCTTACCTACGATGGTCGGTACAATAACGTGCGGAGTAAAATTTGTTAGTTTAATTTATTACTTCGAAAAGGTAAGCATCTTTACGAATATTGCAACTGTAGATCGTATAGCTACAAATCTTGGTTTAAATAATACGTTTTCTTATAATTTAAAGTTTAGAGATTTATTTCAACAATTTTATGACGATTGGATGAATGTCTCGAAGAAAGCGAAACAAATTTTTAGAAATTATATGGAAATATCATGGAGATTTACATCGATATATACAGGTGCGATAAATCGATCAATGGTGAGTTATTTATATGGAAAGAATGATTTTATTGAGTTTTTAATCCTTTAAGACTCAGACACTGATTCTGTTTAAATAAAATTTTTTTCTTCATAATATGATTTTTTAAAATTTTGATGAAAAATTTTGTAAATCGAATAAAATTGAAATATGATTTTCTGAAAATATACATTACGTATAGTCATGTTTATATAGAATATTCCAAACTTTTTGAGTGTGAATTAAGAGGATTATATGGACAGAGTTACATGTTTTGTATTGATACAAAACATTTGGAAAGAATCACAGACTTCTATAACTAAATTGCTGATTCAATGTGATAGAAAGAGATGAACCTGATTCAGAGTTATCCTTGTTCAGTTCACATATGAGTATGTATGCATTTCTGTTTGTGAGTATCGCGTGAATTTATGTGAAAATATTACGTTATTTATACATATGAGAATGAGTGATTACAAATATGGCGCTATTTTTAAATATGGAAAAGTCAACAATACTTATAGAAATCTAAGAATGACTCAAAATGAATACATAATTATGTGTATTGGTCTCTTTAAAGGGTTAAAAATTTAAATAGATACAGATTTAATAATAACTTTGTTGGATTATCAAAATAATTATGTAGGAAACTTAAGTATGACGAGCAATGTTGCAAAAAGTTTTGATATTTCAATAACCAGTTTAAATGTCTTATATAATTATTTTGATATCCTATAAAATTATTTTCAAAAATTTGTATTTAGCTAATTTTTAGATATAATACTTCAATAAAATTGTTCTTTCCATGTATGTATCCGTACGTATTATTATTTATTGTATAATAATTATTTCGTTTAGTTTGGATGGCTACGTTCGTGATCGGTTTTGCATTATTGCCGCTTGTCAACCCACTACTCGATGTTTTATCACCGTTAAACATAACAAGGCCAAAAAAATTTATATATCCAGCTGAAATGCTGGTCGATCACGAAAAATATTACTACATTCTGCTTACAATTATGTATTACAGTTACTTCGTGGCTTGTGTGGTTACATTGGCAATTGATACAATATATTTCGCCTTTATAGAACATGCTTGCGCATTGTTCGATATCTTAAAGTACGAACTATTTTGTAGTTCAGTACCATTTATTTAAATCATTATTATTTATCTATTATTATTTACAAATTATCTATAATTGTAGAGTGTAGCATAAAGAGATCTCAAATTTTTCTTAAGATTTATAGTTATATAAATAGTTATATAGTTATATAGTTATATAAAGATAAATTTTACATATTTTGTAAATTGTTTTATAAATATTGTGTGCTGTCTGATATAGTTACCATTTGAAGAATATGGTCAAAGGTCGGTCAAAGCAAGAAGCTCATCACGATTCTTCTTCGAAGCAAAATAATATTGTCCAGCACTTGATTCGATGTATCCTCCTGCACATAAAAATAAAAGCGTTAGTATAAATATTAGAATTCAAAAGTGTTATATTAAAATTAAAGAGTTAACACAAAATTATATTAATTTAAGGTTCATAGATCTAATCAACAGTACGTTCGCGATATATCTATTTTTTGAGGTCGGCCTAGGTTTTGTGATGCACTGTACTTTATGCACGATGGTAAAATTCTAAAATTAACATTAATAATTTTAAAATCAAGATAAAAATTCCAATCTAATCTATAAGAATAATATCTGACGTGATATCGTAGAGTATACTTCAAATGAATAAGACAGTCGAAATTATAATATATGTCGCGCTGGTGGTTTGCCAAACTGCTCGCCTTTTTTTTTATGGTTGGCAGGGTCAGCAAATAGCGGATCATAGTATCGATGTGTACATTTCTGCGTAAGTCATTGCAAATTTTATCTTTATTTATTTTCATTTATATAAACCTAAATTTTCAGATATAATGGAGCATGGTATGAGACATCAAACACAGCCAAAAAGATGCTCTTAATGCTAATCCTAAGGAGTCAAATGATCAGTGAAATAAAGGTGGCAAAGTCCTTCGTGATGAATCTAGAAAACTTCACTGTGGTAATAATATTACGAGCTTATTTTATGTCTTCCTAATTCTTATACATTTCTGAAAATAAAAAAACTGGATCGTACAGATCATTCATATAGATCATAATATTTATGTCATTAAGATAAAAAAATATGATAATAATTATTCGTTTTCAAACTATCATGAAAATCCGAAATAAATTCCTACAGATTCTAAAATAATCTATGATGTATGATCTTTATACATTTTATGTATCATTATATTAAAACATCTTTGTTGCCCATACTACATCAAAATAATATGTAATGCTTTTTGAAGATAATGAAAGCATCACTCACATATTGCATGGTAATGTTGTCAATGCGTGAAGAATGAAGCAGCAAATAATCATCATGAATTTTGCAGTTGATAGTATATCATACACGTTATTAAATTTTAAAGAAAAATATAAATTTTAGTATGTATATGTGTTAAATATATATAATAATATATTTATATCGGTTTTTTTATTTATTTTCATGTTACAATAATTTAATTATCTAATAGATATTCTTATAATCATCTTTTGTATTTATAATAGAATCTTTTAATATTGTTTTAAATTTAGATATATTTCTGTCAAATAAACAATCCATTATTGCACAACTATGTTTGCTGTAAATTAAATTATTGCTTTTAACCATTTTATAAATGATAATATTTTTTATTTCATAATAACAAAATATATATCTAAAATAATTGACATATGGCGACTATGTCATGTGGAGTATAACTACTGTTTTACAAAAGCGAATATATTCGTAAAATTAAACGCTATTATCTGTTGCTTTACGCAAAGCTTTATAGTTATACAATGTCAATGGTGCGAAATTAAAATTACAGGACTCCTCACGTGTCATTCATTTGCGAGAGGCGTCTACCCTTTATTACTTATTCCATTTAATTCAACATATTATGTATATTTCTCTTTGCGAAAGCATCGACACCCCAAGAGAATATCATATGAACACCGTGCGAATAAGGATTGACGGAAACTTTATCTTCAGCTATTCAAAAATTCCGTTTGAACACAAATCAATTAATGGACGTCTTTGATATCCGAAACTGATAAATGAATGGATTTAGGATTGCAATCTTCTCAATCCTAAAAGAATGCCTTGCATGTACTGACATGCATACGTATTACGATAGCACATAAACTTCTTCTAACAAATAAGCGTGCCACTAGTATTTTGTACATCCTTTTATTTCAAAAGACTATTTGAATTATTATAATAGAAATTTCTATAGAAGAATTTATTTTTGATTATAGCTCATGTGTCTCAATTTTTATGAATAGCAATTTTTATAAATACACGCACCATAATATAAAATTTTTTGCTTAAATGAAGTGCTAAAGGGATTCCCCGCTTATTAGTAGAATTTTTTTTGGGTGTAATTAATTATCTATTATTGTAATTATTAATTATTATTGTAATTGTTAATTATTGTATTGTAGTTATTAATGTAAGTAATGATGACTAATTTAAAAATTATCAAATTTTTAGATATAACGGAATGTGGTCATCAAATCTCTTCAGAAGCATAAAAAAATGTTATTTTTAATTAAATGTCAAAAACTATATCACATAACTACGGTGAAATTATATGCAATCTATTTGGAAAGTTACAGCTCGGTATGATAAAATTCAGTACATAAATATTAGCTGCAAAAATAAGTAATTCTCAAATTTGTATAAATAATTTATTTAATAATAATTTGGATTGACGAATGATCTTGACACAGTTGTCATGACCTTGAGTAATTTTCAAAAAATTTGAGGTGCCACGCCGGTCACAAGTGTTCGTCCAAAAGTTATTAACAGAAAAGTTTCAAATATAATATCTTATTTCTGCTATTGTACGTCTCGAGGCAGAGAGAAGATAGGGGTCGAATTCCCTTCGTGTGGAAAATCATATGTCCGTCAGTATATGTATAAAGTATGTATAGCAGAAATAAGACATTATTTTTTAAACTTAATTTGTTAATAATTTTTGAACGTACAGTGACCGGCAGCTAAAATCTTTTGATAGTCACAAGATAATGGTCTTAACTCATAATAAAATCAAAGTCATTGGCGCGGTGTCTGTTAATCTGAATAATTTCCATTTATTTTTTAACAATGCTTAAAATATATTAGATGTTGGAATTAATTCGTAGCGTTTTACAAGTGATGGGAAGTACTTTCATTAATGTATTTTTTAATGCTCATGTGAAATAAATAACATTCTTTCATTAAAAACGCTACGAATTAATTCCAACACCTAATATAAAAATATTTTATTCAATTTTACATACACAAAATTATATATAAAAAATATGCACTTTAATATTACATTAAATTTTTAAGTTCATGAGACCATCCGTTTACGTAACGATAATGGTTCAATTCGGACATGTAATCATTTGTAATATAAAGGTCTGTGATTTGTTGTCAAGAAGGTAATTATAGATATGTTTTTACAAAAAATATGTCGGTTTATTTCCAAATTGTGTTGACATTTTTTTGTATTTATTTTCTTATATACATAATATTTTTAATTTTTTAACATATATTTTTGTAAAAATATATTCATCTTGTGTTAAATTAACTCAAAAATTTGAGTGAATGGTTTGACATTTGCGATTTATGTTAAATTTGACACATTATTTTTATTTTTCAACAGTGTGGAAAAGTGAAAAAAAATATAACTAAAAGTATTCAAAAGTTAGTTACAAATTATATATACTTCAAATATTACAATATAAGAATAAATAAAATCCCTTATCGATAGTAAAAAATTTATAATTTATTAAAAAATTAATATATCAATTATCTAAAAAATAATGGCAAAAATACTCTCTTATATAATTAAAAACTAAATTATTTAAAAACTTTCACAATAAAAAGTTTATATGACAATAATTAATGGTTTTCAAAATATTATTTGAAAATCCGATAACATAAATTCCTACGTATTCTGAAATAGTCTATGTCTATAATGATATATGGTCTTTGTATGTTACGTGTTATTACATTGAAATATTTTTGTTATGCATCAACATAATAATATGTAATATTTTTTTTAAATAATGAAAGCATCAGCACTCACATATTGCATGGTAATATTGTCAATGCGTGAGAAGAACGAAACAGCAAATAATCATCATAAATTTTGCAGTTGGTAGTAGGTATATCATACATTATTAGATTTTAATAGAAAAATATAAATTTTAGTATGTATAAATGTCAAATATATAATATATTTATACAATATATATTTTTATATTACAAAACTCTAAGAGATATTTTTATATTCATCTTTGTACTTACAATAGAATTATCTTTTGATGTTGTCTTAATTTGTTTAGACATATTTGTATCAAATAAACAATCCATTACTTCAAAATTATGTTTGCTGTAAATCAAATTGTTGCTTTTTAACCACTTCATAAGTGATAATATTTTTGATTTTATAGTATAAAAATATATATCTAAAATAATTGACGTATGGCGACGGACTACGTGGAGTATAACTGCTGTCTTCTATAAAAGCAAATATATTATTCAGAATTAAACGCTATCATCTGTGTTGCTTTATGCAATGCTTTATACAATGTCAATGCGAAATTAAAATTATAGGACTCTGCGTGTCGCTTGCTTGCGAGAGGCGTTTCCCCTTTATTACTGATTCCATTTAATTCAATATATTATACGTATATTTCTTTGCGAACGCATCGACACTCCAAGAGAATATCAAATGAACCGTGTGGAGAATTGATGGAAATTTCACCTTCAACTATTCAAGATTTCCGCTTCAACACGAATCAGTTAGGAATGGATATCTTTGATACCCGATATTTTCGAGTTAACAAACTGTTGTTGTCTTTCTTTGGCTTGTGGCCAATGCAATCAACATCCAACAAAAATAAACGTCTTTGTTGTACATTATTTGGTATATTGATTCTATTACTGCCGCAGGTACAAATTCTTGCCCCTGGGTTAGAAAAAAATCGTAAGAGAAAATCAATATTGGAATTTATAATAAATTTTTTGAAATTGTTAGTGATTTTTGCGCTATTTGAATTACTTTATAATAGTACATAAAAAGTTATAAATACAAGTAATAGCTACGATATGATTTGTTAATACTTGTAGATTGCATTCTTGTTCAAACGTATGAGACGCTTGAACGACTTTTACGATGTTCTACCAACTTTTCTTGGCACATGTATATGTCTCTTGAAAACAATTGGTCTTCAGTGGCAGACTGAAAAAGTGAGTATGCCGTTATGCATAATGTTATTTATTAATTATATTTTATTTAAAAAAAATGCCATAACTGCAGTTTAGGATGCTCATTCAGCATGTTTGTCACGATTGGTGCTTATTAGCGAAATACAATGATATTTGGATTTTAATGGAATATATGGAGAGAAGTCGAATGTTCACGCTGGTCTTCTTAAGTACTAACGATAAGTATATCCAACGATCGTTTTTCTAAGCGATTATGCAAAGAAAGACAATTTCTTTTACTAGTTTTTACCCTCACGGGCGCAGCCAGTTTCGTAACGGCACCACTCACCATACCGTTACTTGACAGTATATTGATGTCAAATGTAACAAGAACAAAGCGAATGCCGCATCCGACGGAGTTCTTTTTGGATATGGAAAAATATTATTATATTCTTTTAGCATTAACGATTGTGGGATACAGTGTATGCTGTATGGTAATAGTAGCAACCGACACCATCTATCTGGCCCTGCTGCAACATATCTGTGGTACACTAGCTATACTGAGGTATACTTTGGTTTACTTTACTTATCGATTTATAAAAAAATAAAATTTTACTATTATGTATATGACTATATACTTACAGTTATCGTTTGAAAAGGTTGGCTACACGCGATATATCAAAAAAATGTTTCGATCCCACATCTAAAGAGGATGGAGATGTTGAGAATATGGTAAATTGTATACAACTTTAAATCAGAATAGAGAGGTTCTTATAAATTGAGCAAAGTTAAAATCTATCAGACAAGATTACAAATATGATACGGATTTTCCTATCTCTATTTGTTACCAATAGACTAATCTACTTGATTGAGTCGACGTTCGCGACATGTCTTATCACCGACATTGGTTTAGGAATTCTACTTCAATGTACTGCGTGCGTGATGGTAATAAATAATAAATATTCTATATACAATTAATATCTATCAATTTTATAAACTATACTGATCCACTAATACATGAAGAAAAATGTTTTCTTCCGTATTGATTAAAATCGCTAATATGAAATTTTCGCAGATAGTGACTCGTACGGAATTGGTAAGAAACGGTCCACTTGTACTCATTCAATCTCTTCGATTCTTCTTCAATAGCTGGCTAGGACAGAAAATAATAGATCACAGTTCTCAAATTTCTGTTGCCGCGTAAGTTATTAATGTAATTAATTAATAACGATGACTATAATTTGAAAATTATAAAACTTTTAGATATAATGGAATGTGGTATCAAACGTGTTTGGAAGTAAAAAAAATGTTATTATTTCTATTAATGAAATGTCAAAAACCATATCACATAACTATGGTGAAATTATATGTAATCTGCTTGGAAAATTACGGCTCGGTATGATAAAATGTAGTATATGAATATTAACTGCAAAATTAAATAAATCTCAAATTTGTATAAATAATTTATTTTTTAATAATGCCCAAAATATATAAAAATATTTTATTTAATTTTGCATATTCAAAATTATATATAAAAAATATACATTTTAACATTGTATTATTTTTAAGCTCATGAAAACATCCGCTTCCTACGTTACGGTAATGGTATCATTAAACTCGGATGACATGTAACTATTTGTAATATGAAGGTCTGCGGTTTGTGCTTAACAAAAAGTTAATTATAAATAAAAGTATTTTTGTTCTCAAATGTATTATCAAAAATTTTTATATTGTACAAAATCTTTACAATATTATATTTCTTATTCTCATTTTTTAGTTAATTTTCAATTAAATTTCTATCTTAATAAATTTAATAAATTATAATAATTTGCATGCAGTTATATACTTATGTATGCAGTATAAATATTATATTAGGTGTTGGAATTAATTCGTAGCGTTTTACAAGTGATGGGAAGTACTTTCATTAATGTATTTTTTAATGCTCATGTGAAATAAATAACATTCTTTCATTAAAAACGCTACGAATTAATTCCAACACCTAATATATTTGTGTAAAAAAATTGTACATTTGTGTTGAAAATCCATTCACGTTTTTGATAATAATTTGTGTTGAATTTTTTAATATATTCGAATAAATAATATGTTAAATTAATAATATGATTATGTTACTTAAAGATTTGTTAAAATGATATTCAATATTTATTAGTGTCCAAATGATATAATTTGTGATGAGTCATTAAAATGAACAAATAATGTAAAAATAAAGTGGTTAAAACATAAATTCTAAGTGAATAAAATGTAGATTAATTTAACATATACTTGTTAATTTCAATTGATAAGAATATGTTTTCATGTTTTGTTCACAAACTATGCCGACTACTTTTTTGTATTTATTCTTATACAGAATGTCCCAAACGAATCGCGAAATATTTTGTGGGCAGGTAGAGCGGACTAAACTAAGTCGAAAAGTTCTTTATCATTTTATAATTTTCAATACTCAGCGAGATATTAATTACTAAAAATTGCCGAGAATTGGTTTCTATAATTTTTTACTCAAATACTATTACTTTACAGAAAAATTGCAAGAAGTAAAAATTGTTTTTTTTTTCCCTAAAACTATTGTAAGAATTTTTTCATAGATTTTCCAGAATTTTTTGATATCATATTTTCTCATGATAATAAAAATAAGAAAATGCAGTACTAAAAAGTTGATAAAAAATTTTGAAAAAATTTTTAAAGCTCTATAAGAAGAAAATAAACAATTTCTGTCTTTCGCAGTTTTTCTGTAAAGTTGATAATATTTGAGTAAAAAATTATTGGAGACCAATTTTCGACAATTTTTATTAATTAATATCTTATTAACTATTGTGAAAATTGCAAAATGTAGAGGACTTTTCAACTCAGTTTAGTCCGCTCTATCTGCCTATGAAATATTTGGCGATTATTTTAGAACACTTTGTATAATATTTGTGCAATCTTCTCACTTATTAATCTTGTTAAATTAACTCAAAAATTTTATTGGACTGTTCGAAATTTGCAATGTATGTTTAACGTTCAATACTTTTCCAACAGTATAAGAAAAGTCGAAAAAATATATAAACTAAAAGTATTTAAAAATTAGCTACAAATTATGCTTCAATTAACTGAAATAATATTACATTATACGAAAACAAAATTTTTTATTGAATATAAAAATTTGTAGTATGTTAATATGATTTGATAATGTATGTTGATAATGTATTAATATATGAATTATCAAGAAAATTATAGCAGAAAATAACCTCTTATCTAATTGAAAATTAAATTATTTAAATTTCCACGGTAAAAAATTTTTACGATAACTTGACAAAATGTGAATGTGTTGATCAATAAGATAAAAAATATAATTTAAATAAAATATATAAGTTAAGAAGAGCTACGAGCCAGTTGACATTAAATACTAAATATTTAATATTCAAAACCAAACAAATAAAAAGTATGTTTCGACGTTAATTTTAGCTTTTATATATTGCAACTATTAAATGTATTCTGAACTTAACATCTGATTTTTATACAAAAAAAAAACATTCTTGTAAATCTTTTCAATTGTATTTACAATTGTAGATCGCTTTTTCACAGATGATAAATGAGAGTATCACTATGGTGTTCCAATTATATTGATTGTTTTCAATGTTTACACACACATTAAGTAGACCACATAGATTCTTAATAAAGAGGGAACATAGGAGCATTAGATATAGATAGATATAGATGTTATTTTAATATGTGAATACAACAATTTTCGTAATTTTTATTTTAATTTATTCTAACATTGAGAATGATCGGCGTCGAAACGTATGTATTTTCTATTGTTTAGTTTTTTTTAGTATTAAATTTATTAATGTCAACTGACTCATGGCCCTTCTTAATTTATATATAATATTTAATTTATTCTAATTGAGCCATTCTATCTATTTATATAATCCAAATAAATGGAATTACTATTAAATTTTAAGTTTAAAAAAATGTCGAAAATTTAATAATCTTATAGTATCTTAATAGTCTTATAAAATAGACTTACAAACAAAGAGTAAGGAAAAAAAAAAAGAAAAATAGATAAAAAAAAAAGAAAACTTATGAACATTCTTTCTCTTTCAAATTCTATTTGCAGCAGCATCGGTATGTTTTAATTAATGTAAAAATATTAAACTTGATAAAATTAATTACTCCAATATATCGAGTGATTTCTTTGGCTTAAATAAAATAAAACGGTTTTATCTTTGCGATTCTGCAGCAGTTTGGGTATATACTTACTACCATTTATCTTATAGTTTTAGGAATGTCGCTTAATTTATAAAGCGATGGAAATACAATGTATAGTCGCACTTACAGACCTCTTCGATCACAAAGAGAATTCGTCTGTTAAGAGAAACGCGATACATTACTCATAAATATGTGATTGCATGATACTGTAGAATACACTTCATTGTCTTTTCGTTAGGCTATTTTACTTTTTGAAAACCTTTCAAAGGAATACGGAAATACTGTTTCAAGGAAATAAACTCTGCGATTAGACGTGAATATTCGACGAGATATCTGATCGTTTCGAACGATTACTTTTTGGTTTCTCAATGTCTTTCTTTGACAATCGCTACTATTATCTTAACAAAAGGTTTCTAACCGTAATCGGCCAATGGCCATTTCAATCGCGACTGGAGAGTAACATGATGTTCGCCATTACATCTTTGTCCACTTTCAGTTTTATATTCTTTCAGGTATTTAAAGAAACAACAAGGAAACGTTAAAATCAGCACTGATAATTCGTTTCTGATTTTCGACAGTTTTGGGGCTTAGCAGCTGGGATAACGGATCTGAGCATCATTATGGAAAACACTTCGCAGATACTGGTGAATAGTATGATTGCTATAAAGCTCATTAATTGCGTGTTTACTAATGACAAAGTTCGTATCTTTCAGCTATGAAAAGCTAATTGTATCATTCTGTGATTGTATGTGAATGATTTTTTCGAGTTACAGATGAAAGTACTTCTGGAGGACATCAAAAAGACATGGAAGATAGAACATACAGATGCAGAAAAAAAAATATTACAACATTACGCAGAAAAAAGCAGAACTTTCACGATAGGATACGCCAGTAAGTTACTTTTGTTTTAAAATTTGTTCATTTTTTTCTATCGAATATACATATATCTGGCAATACATGAGAAATTAATTCTAGCTCTTTATCCTCTCTTTTACTTCGTTCTTGTTATGTTGTTATTATTTGTCCAAAATAATACTTTTTTTTCTTCATTTTTTTCGAAATATTTCCGAGAGCATTATACAAGTAAGATTGTATTTGCAAATTTTTTTTTGAATGTGCAGTCCATATTTTCGTTGTTTTTATTAAATAAAATTTATTAAACTCCCTTTTCTTTTTCTATTAAAATATTATAACTTTTGAAACATATATAGAGGAAAAGAAGTGATTTAAATATTTCCAGTTGTTTTATATGCGACATGGCTTTTCTACTCAACGACATCAATCGTCGTTAGCGGAATCTATATGATTTTACCGACAAACAAAACGTACACTGCTAAGTTTTTATATCGCATAGATCATGTTCTTGACATAGACAAATATTTCGAACTGTTGATGCTTCACGGATTTATTAGCGTATTCTACTTATCCTCTGTGCCGTTAGCCGTCGACACAACGTTTACACTTTGCACCCATCACATCTGCGCGTTGTTTGAATGCTTACGGTCAGTTGCCTTTGCGAAGAAGGCTGTATCAAGATCGCTTTTAAAAAATTACGATATTATAATTTTTAAGCAGCTATAATATAGAGCGCATACGAGGCTTGGATTTTGTATTACTCGAACCAAATATTAAGGATGATGAAGTATATCGTGACATAATTGGCTGCATCAAATCATATCAACATGCCTTAAAGTTAGTATTAACATAGTTATGTGTGTGTGTGTGTGTGTGTGTGTGCGCGTGTGTGCGTGCAATAGTTTCATATTTTATCATACTAGCATATTTTAGAAATAAAGTAGAGTAAAAACCCTAATACGAAAATGTTAAGGCTGTAATAATTTTTTAAATTATAAACTAATTTTCATTGCTTATAAATCAAAAATTATTTTACTTTTATAGTTTCTATTATTATTTCTGGATTCTTTGGAATATTCTAAGACGGAAATCCTAATACGAAACTGTCAAAGGTTATAATAATTTGATAAATTGTAATTGAAAAACTATTGTAGCTTTGACATTTTTATATTAGGATTTTTTACTATAAGAGAGGCCGAAGTCAGTACTATAGAGGTAAGTAGAATAATCAAGGCTACATTAAAAACAAAGCACGTGTAACATCCTGTGTATATACATATATATATATATATATA